TAACGCAGAGATCATGGATTATTTCTAGTTTTTGCTCGTCACAAACTGAACCGGCCACCACACCCACATTTATACCCTGTGGGGTGTGGTCCAGTGACTCAGCTAATCTCTGGCATGCCTTCCCCTCTGCTGCGCACGCTTCTCCCTGCGCTGCTGCCGAGGATCCAGCCAGCACTTATCTACTTCGTCGCTGTCCACCTGTGGCTGCGGGGACGTGCTTGGCTCTGGGTCTATCTCTTGGCCTTTGGTGTCCTCCGGAGGCATTGCCAGAGAGGAGGGTCCTGGAGAGGGAGGCCTTGCCAACTCCTCTCCCTCACTCTCAGAGTCTGCATCTGTCGATAGCCCATCCACAATCGTCACTACCGTTTGCCTGAACCGGCTGAATACCACTTCTTGAACATCGTTCTCCTGAACCGGCTGAATACCACTGAGGGAATGGGCAAATTCCCTCAGGAGGAAGAAGTCCTGTAAATGTTATATTAAAATGCCATGTGCAAAGTTGGAAGAAATCTTATCATTGATCTTTTGTTTTGGATTTATTGTGAAAATGTTTAAACAAAAATTACATGCCTCTTTTTGAACTTTGTGATAAAAAACAAAGCTACTAATGAGCTGTGGAGTGATACAGGGTTAGGCATATATATTTGCCATAATTTATCCAACTTTTGGTTTGGACCTATTGTTAAAATGTTGGTAAAACTCAATATGATTTTTTTTAAATTTACTACTTTTGTTCTAGCCCATTATATTTTTCATGGAAAGTGGCAATTTGTACATAATTTACATTGGAAATAAAGCTTAACATCAATAAACATTTTTGTTCTGATTTTTATTCAGGTCCACTTTAGAAAAAAACCAGGAATCTAGAATTATTGAGTATCCCGTTTGAGAGGCATTATGGTAAATATTTTGAGCAAATAATGGATGTATTCCAGGTGCTGCCTGTTCAGATGATATGTTGCTGATCTGGCAAAAACAGTGATTGGAGGACAGGTTTAGACATTTCTGATTCAGCAATCACTATAGAGTTGGTATTGAATATTTCTAAAAGACAGTATGCAAGCGTCTCCATTCTTGTTTCTTGAATTCCTCCAGGGAGTATCCATAGGGTGGAGGGTCATAAAAGTGAAGGTGACAGGCACAGCTATGCAAAGCCCCAGTACCATGGTTGTGGCTGCCATCTTGGGCGAATTGTTTTTTATTTTGAACCCCAGATTTCATCCGCTCCATCCATTCTATTCGAAATGTCTTCAGACAATCGAATGAATGGTTGGTTGGCAACGTTCAGTTAACAGCCTTCTCAGTCAGCAAGGAAGAAGGATGATGCCAAACTGCCTATAACAATTTGTTCAATCTCTGCCCAGTTGTGGAAAAACTCTTTAGGGCAGACATCAAATCACATTAGCTTGCAATCAGTTTTTAACACCTGTATTTTTTTTTAATAAGCTAAATATGAAAATGTCCCTATGTGGTATAAACATGCTTTCATTTTAGATTATTTGGAATTAATAGTTTTGTCACCTCATTCAGATTAATTTCCATAAAAGGCAGGGGGAATTCTCAGTTACCTTGCAAATGTGGTCACACTTCCACCAGGCTAGGAATATTGCTTGTGCAGAAAGGGTTGTCTTTTTTCTAATTACTAAATTGAATCCCAAGGGATTTGCATAAATTCATACAAAGGAAAAATGCATAATTAGATTGATTTTTACAAGCCATATATTAACAGCATTAACTTTAGAATTTAAATGAAGCCGACAGCAGATTCCTCATTGCTCAATTCAGGTGTTGGAACATTCATAACCATGTCTTAGTTCTGTATAAACAGGACTTATTTCACTCTTGTTCCTATAATTTGCGGCAGGAGTGAAATGCTACCGGTTCGCACTGGTTCGGGCAAACCGGTAATAATAAAAGTTACCAATTCAGGCGAACTGGTAGTAAAAAAAAGCTACTGGTTTGTCCGAACTGGTATTTCCAACAATCAGCTGTGCCACCCAATTTAGATCCTAGCGAATCTAAATCACACAGAACAGCTGTTCCCCCCGCTGTTCTACTTACCTTCTTAAGCCTCCTTTTTCTGCGTGCAGCATGTATTTGGCGTGCATTGCGCATGCGTGCACACTGAGTGCACCCCTCCCTGCCGTGGGGTGTGGCGGTTAGAAAGTCAAGCCTAAGGAAGGAATGATCCGACCATGACAAGGGCTCAATCGCTACTGCCCCTATCTCAAGATAATTTATCCACTGCCCAGAGACAAAAATCAAGTCCAGAGTGTGTCCTCCCGTGTGAGTGGGTCCATGAATTAATTGGGTCAGGTCCATGGCCGTCATGGAAGCCATGAACTCCCGGGCCGCCTCAGACGCTTCGCCGACAGATGGTAGGTTGAAGTCCCCCATGACCATAAGCCTGGGGGGTCTCCACCGCCACCTCGGCAATCACGTTGAGTAGCTCGGGCAGGGTAGCCGACACGTGGCAAAGCATGATCAGTGATGAGGAATAGGAACTGTCTTCTGCACCTGATCCAAGAACATGTAGGGCAGTGAAAAGGCAGGCACAGAAGTCAGACAGATGACTTGTAAGGAGGCAGCCTCACCTCTCTTGGTGAGCTGCACCAAAAGCTGGCTATTTAGCACAGCAGACAGATGGAGACGATGCTGGAAACGTGTTCATTTCCTTGCTGTGTGTTTTTGCCTTAAACTTCGGATTGTGTCTCTTTAGCTGTTGTCTTTGCTTTGCCTTTGCCTTGGGAACTTGCTTTTGTCTACTGGGCTGGCCTTTGCCTTGAGGACTAGTGTTGGGGTCACAGTTCCAAGTAACACCCCCCAATGAAATCAAACTCCGAGGCTTGGAGCTCCACAAAGCTAACTTTTATTAGAGATGTCATATTGGCACACCTGGGAAAACCCGAATCTGAAAGTTTCGGGGTTTTTCTCACCCACAAGAAAGTTCAAGACCTTGCCCACATCTCCCACATGCGCTTCAAGGTACTGGTTACCACCTTTAAAGTGCTCCATGGCATCGGACCTGGGTATTTGCGGGACCGCCTTCTGCCGCCAATAGCCTCCCAACCGGCCAGTACGCTCCCACAGAGAGGGACTCCTCAGGGTGCCGTCAGCTAGGCAGTGTCGGCTGGCGACCTCCAGGGGGAGGGCCTTCTCTGTGGCAGCATCTGCCCTCTGGAACGATTTGCCCCCGGAGATACGGAGGATATCAGATCTCCGGGCTTTTCGCCGCGCCCTAAAAACTTTTCTCTTCCATCAAGCAGGGCTGGCGTGAAACCCCCCCCCCCGTTTTTTGAGATATTAGATTTTTAATTGTTTAATGGGTTTTAGTCGTAAGGTTCTTAATTTTTCGGCCAAAGGATATAATTCTTTTAAATTTTTAACTTTTATATTGGATGTTTTTTACTTGGCTGTGCACCGCCCTGAGTCCACCAGGAGAAGGGCGGTATACAAATTTAAATAAAATAAAACAAAATAAATGTCCACACAGCTCCAATCAGTTCTTTCCCGAACATCCTCCAATTTCTTCTTTGCACAGCTGCCGGACACCATGGCCTTGAACTTTTCTTAAGAGAATTTTGTTATGGCTATTTCTACTTCACTCATGCAATCCCCCCTCCCAACTTCTCACGGTATGATTGGGGCAGGCCTGGATCCTCAAGGCACACAGATAATATGGCTTCCAGGCATGACAGTTGGCTTCATTTGAGTAGCTTTGGAACGCATTGGGGTTGAGCTGGTGCTAGCACAGGGAATTGCTGGGGAATAACCAATTCAGGTTTGGAAGCCTTAATAAAGACTCCTTACACCTGTGATGTGTGTGTGTGCATGAGTGGGACAACACACACTGTCCCAGGATCATGTGATCACCATTGGGTAAACTTTCCAAATGGCTTCTGACAAGCGAAGTCAATGGGCGAATCCAGATTCACTTACTCCATTGTAAAATGGAGTAAAACTCACTTAAGAACTGCCTTGCTTAACAACAGAAATTTTGGACTCAGTTGAGTCCTTCCAGAAAACGGTTCCTTTAATCATTGGGGCTTTTTTCCACCCCGTTGGCAAATAGATGGATTTGCTGCCAAAACCTGTCCAATTGCTGTCTGCATTTTGGGAGGTGCCGATTTCTGCTTTTAATTTGCACTTTACAATTTTTCTTTTTGTTTTTCATCCTTGATGAGTGGATTACAAGTTAATTGCCTGGTTGAGTGTGGTTAAGATTGGCACCCTCTTGATGGATTACAACGAAGGACTTTTATTGCTTAAAACGCAAGAGGAAACTTTGATTTAACTGTAACAAGCAGCTGGGCAAAACTTCAGCCTTTTGCCTTAGTGTAATAGGGACTTCAATCATTTTAGTTACTCATTGAAAATGTTGTATATAATGTATACTCTAGTATTTTATTTTTTTCTGTATATATTCCTACCTTTTGTTCTTTAGCTCAAGAAGTAGTTGTTTTTTTTAAAAAAATCCTTCTCTTTTCTCACTGTGGGAATTGCTATCTAGCTTATTTTAAAGTGGTTGTTTGAGAGTTCAATCCTAGGTAGTAGCAGCAGATATTTCTCTCCCAGGGCATAAAGAAAAAAATATATCTATTGTGAACTCCATGTGGTGTCAGGAAGGGCATCCAGCTAATAAATGCTCAGTTCTATCCAATCGCCCCAACTCTACCCTGAATTAAGGGAATAGAGAGCTGTAAAAAGGGTGCTTATATAATGTAAGAAGAAGTTATATTGTTTGGGAACACAATATAAAATCCTTTTGGCCTTGAGCATTGCTCAGTGACTGTTTATCTTGTGTACTAAATACCTGGTCATATAGACATTGAAGCCTACTGAGAATCAAAAAATTTGAAATGAATATTTTTAATATTTTATATTAAGTAAAATTTAAGAGTTATCCAGTGGTGAGATGGGTGGCCAATACATTTAATAAATAAAAAATAAAATAAAAATATATTAAATAAAATGGCCCCACAGAAAAAAGGAAGCAAAAAGAGAATCAGAGGACTTTATTGTTCAACTTTTTATGAAGAATTTTGAGCAGAAAATGCTCTTGAATTTACAAACAAATTTACAAATTTACAAAAAAAAAAAAAGGAGATGACTGCATTAATTTGTCAAGAATTGACTAGTATATTGTCTGATAAATTTGATTCAATGGCTAAAAGCCTAAAGGAAAATTGGATCAAAAGTTGGAAGAATTTGCAACAGAGTTAAACCAACTGAAAAAGGAAGTTAAGAATATTCATATAAGAGCAGAAAAGTCAGATATACAAATGGGAGCAATTAACTTACTGTTAATGGATTGGAAGGAGAAAGTTTTATTTGAGAATTAGGGGCTTGCCAGAAAGTGTGAAAAAAAGGTATTAATATCAAAGATATAATTATAAGATTAATTACAAAATGGATGAAAAATGATACTTTGGATTTTCCTAGAGAAGTTGAGAAAACGTATATCATTATGTGCAATTAGAAGCCAATTGCCAAGAGAATCTTTTGATCCAATTTGTGAGAACATATACTAAAGAACAAGCGTCGCAGAAACATTGTGAACAGAGACTCACAAATGAGGTGTCACCGCTGAGAGAAATTCTAATTACAATTCTTAGAAAATCTTGGCAAATCTCTTACAGCAGAAATAACACTGTCTTTCGATGGGATAAACTAGAAGGAGTTATCTTAACTTTTCAAAACCAACATGTTAGACTAAATTCTACAGCACAAAGCACACCATTTTGTGGAGAGATATGGATCTACAACATTTTTCAAAAGATCCAAATTCTGAAGACCAATTTTTGAAAGAACCACAGAAGGACAATGGCAAAAGAAGTCAGATACAATAGGTTCAGGACATGCCACGGAGATAGGAACCATAGTTGGAACATTAGAAAATTTGTTGTTATAAATAGGATGGAATGTAACTTAAAATGTAAAGGGGAAAAATTCCCCAGAAAAAAGCAAAAAAACCCGCATCCCTATCCATTATTTAGAAAAAAATTGAATCAAGATATAATATCTTTGCAAGAAAAGTGATAGGCAAAAAGTATTTAGACAACAAAACATTGGGTTTGGAATATATTTCTGCCAATCACAAAAAGATGATTAATGTTGTAGTTTTATACATAATTCCTCAATTACAACTACAACTATTACTAGCTGATGGCCAAGGCCAAGATATGTAATTGTTCAAAATGAACTACAAGGAATAAAATTCATTGTTATTGGTGTATATAACCCACATCAAGAAAAGGCTAAATTTTTTGAACATTTATTCTAAACAGTTATTTTCTTTTTCTTACAAAATTGGTGCATTTTTGGAGATTGGAATGGGGTAGCATCCCTATAATTGGACATATTTGTCCTTAAAGAGATAAAAGTAACGCAAGGAAAACTACCCCAAATATTTTTTTGAGTCGACAGACTCTCTAGGTATACTTAATGTATGGAGGTACAAAAATGGACTCGCAAAAGACTATACCTTTTTTTCCAGAAAGACAAATCTTTGACATGATATGGATTACCAGAAATTTGGCTCATAAGCAGTGGTGGGATTCAGCCAGTTCGCATCACTTCGGGAGAACCGGTTGTTAACTTTCTGAGCAGTTTGGCAAACTGGTTGTTGGAAGAAATCATTAGGGCAGAGAACCAGTTGTTAAATTGCTTGAATCCCACCACTGCTCATAAGGTAATTGAAACAGACATTCTTCCAAAATCTTTTTCACATCACATCCAGTGACAGTGCATTTTAAATGCAGATTGCAGTCTTTTAAGTGGAGGTTAAATGAATCCATCTTGCAAAGACCACAAATTGTCAAAGAATGTAAAAAAATATTTCAAGATTATTTAATAATCAAGGAACCCAACTTGACTACAGTTTGGGAAGCCTATAAAACTGTGATTTGATACAATATGATACACGGATTAAGAAGAAATCAACTGGAAAAATCCAAAAAGTTTTAGATGAGATTAAAGTGAAGGGGGAAAAAAATCAAAAATCATTGGAAGACCAAAACATATTTAATCAATTAAAATTATTGCAACAACAAATTTCTATGTTAACAATCCCAGACATGAAAAAGAAATTGAAATATACAAAGCAGATTTTTTTAAACATGCAAATAAACCAGGGAGGTGGCTGTACAAATTAAGAAAACAAACTGAAAAGAAAATAACTAAAATCTGTGAAGGAAATAAAACTCACATGGATAATAAAAATATCCAAAGACTTTTTGGGACTTAATTTATAGGAGCAGCAAGAAGTTTCATTGGAACAAATAAATGATTATGTACAAAATTTACCCAAATTATTGGAAGAACAAAAGAAAATTATGAACAGTCCAGTAACAACCTTTGAAATAACAGAAGCAATTTAAACAGCTAAGATCGATAAAACACCAGGACCAAATGGTTTACTGAGTGGGTTTTATAAAATGTTTGAAGATCAATTATTATTTTCAATGAAAGATTTAATGAATTCTATTTTACAAGGGCAGTCTATGCTTGATTCATGGAAAGAAGCCAACATTGCTCTGATGCTCAAGGAAGGGCAGGACTTAACTCTTACAATATATTATAGTCTTCTTAATGACTACAAACTTTTTACATCCATCCTAGCTGAAAGACTAAAAAAGTTTTACAAGACGATGTCCATGAAGATCATCAGTGTGATTTATTACCTAATAGACAACTAAAGGACAATGTAAGAATCATCCAGTATATAATTGAATATTTACAACAATGCAATAACAAATAGGCTGTACATTTTTTTAGTTGCAGAAAAAAGCTTTTGATAATCTGAATTGGGATTTTATGTTTAAAGTAGTTGAGAATATGGACTTCAGACTGAGTTTTATACAAAGACTGAACTCTATTTATATACCACAGAAGGCCGAGATTATGGTCAATGGAGAATTGATGGAACCATGTGAGATTCAGAAAGGGAAAGAGGGAAGATCAAAGGGAAGATTGAAGAAAACTGGAAAACAAAACTGGATTTAAGATTGTAAAAAAGGTAAAATACCTTGGTGTAACACTAATAAAAATTCTACATTGTGTAGGGCTAACTCACAGCTCACTCCAAGAGTTCAATTCTGAGCGGCTCAAGGTTAACTCAGCCTTCCATCTTTTTGAGGTCGGTAAAATGAGGACCCAGATTGTTGGGGCAATAAGCTGACTCTGTAAACCACTTAGAGAGGACTATAAAAGCACTATGAAGCGGTATATAAGTCTAAGTTCTATTGCTATTTTCCATTGGTGGAAGAGGGTTTTACAAAGCATTCTAAGGGGTATTATTTGTAAAGAAGTATTTTCATCATTCGTTAGTATTCTTATCCTCAGAATTCACTTAGGTTCACATGAAATTAAAAAGATGTACAGATGTTCATTTGAAGTCAGTCAAATTGGAATTACAATTGTTTCTTTATCACACTTGAGTTGAGGTTTTCTCCAGACAGTACCTGCATTTGATCTTTACTTGGCATTAGAGCGCTATTTAGCTATTCTGCCACACTTGCTACATTATTAGGCTGAGCAACTATCAACTTAACCTACCACCCAGGAGTCTCGAGAGAATAAAGTTAGAAGTTCTTCAAGGGGGATGACATGCAGATGATGAAAAATAAAATCTTATATTTGGTCAATATTGCATGGAACAAATAACTTACCGAGGTTAAAGTTATCCTCAAGTGTGCTTAGCTTCTTAAAGTAACTTCATGGATATATTTACAAATTCTTATGGCAACACTTGTTTCAGAACATTTCTTAATTTCTCAACCTACAGCCTAGGACAGTGTTGGCGAACCTTTTCGGCACAGAAGAGCAGCTGCCCAGCGCACGTGTGCAGGAGCGCCAGAAACTGGAAGAGCAGTTTCCTGGTCCGCTGGGTCACACCGGGAAGCTGAGCTTCTGGTTTGCAGCATGTGCCAGTCACCTGGTTTTGCGGTTTCTGGCACGCATGTACGTGTGAAGACCAGCTGGCATGCGAGCCAGGGAGCTGTCCTTCTGGTTTCCGGCACTTCACCGCTCGTGAAGACCATCTGGCTGGCGCGCATGTGCATGCCGGAACCAGGAAGAACTGCTGTGAATTATGAGGCCAAGAATAAAAAAGCAGCAAATCTATGTAGCTGTGATAATACTAGAAAATGGACAATAATTTTTTTTCTTTGCTTCTGTATATTTTTTATCTTTTAAAGCAGAATGCTATTTGAAAGAAATTACTGTGTTTTGTGTTAGGAGTAGTTTCTCAGTACTCCTAAATCTATGTCAGAGCAGGGCCGTCTTAACAGCATTATGGGTCCCGGGCAAAGCAATGTACTAGGGCCCCTACGACAACTACTCACTGGAATAAAAATGTAAATGGTTGATAAAATTAAACATATGTTAGTATCAATAAAAATATAATAAATATGTTTCTGTATTTATATGATACAAGGTGCGTTGAAGGGTTAACATACACAGATTAATATGGGGCCCCTATGCTCGTGGGGCCCATGGGCAAGTGCCCATCAGGCCTATGCATTAAGACAGCCCTGTTTTTAAAAGTTAAATTAATTTTAAATTTTACTGGTTTACATGTGGAAGAATAATTCTGTTCTTCCTGCCAATTTTTGCCTGCTGATTTATTACTGAAAACGTTTTGATTACAACATCTAGTAGGATGGAAGAAAGTAAGACTACTTTTATGGCTAATTTAATCATTGTCCTAATTTTATGGACATGGAAGAGAATTTGGGATCTTTAATTCTTGCCAATTTTCTTCCCTGATCAAATCATGTTAAAACTCCCTGCCCATTCTTGGAGTTTCCCATGCCAACAACAGCAGATATTGAAGTCAGCTTTGATGCCAAGAAGTAGAGTAGAATAATGTATTTCTCCTCCAGAACTCAGGGATTCATAATAAAAGCAATTATGATAAGCAGATCAAATTGAGCAAGGATTATAAACGGTCAACCAATGAATGTACACATGAAAGGACAAAATAATTTATCTTTCCCAAGGTGTAAAAAACCCTAGTCTTTTGCAGAGTGAGAGAGGGAGGGAGGGAGAGAGACAGAGGGAAAGAGAGAGAGAGAGAGGGAGGGAAGGAGGGAGGGAGAGAAAGAATTTCTCTCCTCATTTCATCACACCTAGTACCAAGCATCTGAACTGTGGTTTATTCCTCTGAAAAACATTATTATATGAATGATATTTCTGTTGCCCTGGTATTCACAAACAGATGCCTGTTAGATTTTGTACATATTTAGATATTCAATCAAGAGGAAGAAAACTAGCTACTAGTGTCCCCCCCTTAAGACTCTTCCTTCTTGGTATAAAATTTAGCAGAGAAACCAATTCTGTATCTAATTCAACCATTGCATTCCATTTTCAAAATAGACTTAAAAAATGTTATATTGGGAAGCAAGAAATCTATGGATTGTAGGGTTATTCTTGCCTAACCCATTAAACAAAAGTTAAGGCAACTATATTTTATCCCCAGCTTCTTTTTGGTTTATAAAAAAAAGTCTCCATAAAACCACCAAAAGGAAAACAATGAAGTTTAGATTTCACATATAAAGTTCAAGTGCAATTCAAAATCCAAGTATCCTTTATACTACATACTTTTTTCTATCAATAATTCTTCTTTGCAGGTAGTTTCTTCAAAAAAAGACGAACAGGTTTCTTCTTTATGTGGTAGATCAACAAGGTTCCTTTTCTAAAACAAACGCTTCTCGATGATAAACTGAAAATAGAGTCGTGTTCTCTGGAATTCCAAGTTACTTTTCTTTGAGGTGAAAAAAAAAATCCCATCAAAAATTGGAGATTATAAAACAATAGTTATTCTTCAATATACAATTTAAGATAAAGGTGGGCAGGAAATCTTAAAATCAGGAAAATGTTTCTACAGTCAAACCCAATACAATATTTGACAGGAATGCGAAAGAACCAAAAATAAAACAAAAAACTCCTGAAAAAAAAGCACTAGAAGCTATTTGTATGGTCGTAGAAATCTGGAAACTTTTGATCGCAATAGCTTTATAAACGATCTTGGAAACATCTCCTTCGATTCTTGTGCTGTGTACTTGAAATAGTTTTGAGGATGTGCCAATACATCAAAAAGGGCTTTAATCAATTTCTTGTCCTGTGGGAGACAGAAGAAGCAAAAGCTCATCGTTTTGCAATGGGCTTTCTTGCCCTCCCATTTGGCCCTCCTACCCTCCCTTCCTCCCTGGGTAAGAGTTCCTTCCCCTTAGAATGGAGTTCTGGTTTTGTGTCTCCCAATTTTAAGAAGCACTCTGCAACTTCTTCAATAAAAGCCACTAGGAAAGACTAAGTATGGAAAGCTTACTTTTAAAATTTCTTGGTGATTTTCTGAAGCGTATAAACGTCCATCACGAACAATGTCTTCTATTAACTGCTGATAGTCCTCTGAAAAGTGAATGCCAAAAGGACCAAATCAGTGATTTTTTTTTTTCTGACAACAACATTCAGGCATATGAGCCACACGTTTTGAAGTGATCCTGAATTTAAACACAGCCTTTTTGTTTATTTAAATGTATTTTATTTATTTATTAAATTTATACGCCGCCTATCTCCCTCTCACTATCTTGGCATCAAGGTGCAGTCTGGTGGCCTTTTAGGACAACATTCCAGGAACTACAGGATATGTAGATAGAAGATCTTAGAAGAGAAACTGATAGAAATCCCTTTTTGTTTCTGATCTCAAAGAAAGATGTTTCCAGTGATGGGATTCAAATAATTTAACAACCGGTTCTCTGCCCTAAAGACCAGCTGGGTGGGCGTGGCCAGGGAGTGTGACAGGCAGCACTTGACCTCCTGCACCCCCTCAGGAGCAAAAACGGGTCGTGGGGGGAATGTACCCCCCGCGCCCCATTTTGGGCCTAGTAGGCTTCCCTGCAGCCTCCTGGGAGCAAAAATGAGCTGGGGGGGTACCACACCCCCCTGTGCCCCGTTTTGGGCCTAGGAAGCCTCCCTGCACTTACCTAGGAGCCAAAATGGGGCACGTGGGGACTTCTGGAAGGGACAGGGTAGGGTGGGGCAGTGGTGAAATCCAAAATTTTTTAGTACCAGTTCTGTGGACATGGCTTGGTGGGCTTGGTGGGCATGGCAGGGGAAGGATACTACAAAATCCCCATTCCCTCCACACTCTGGGCCCAGCCAGAGGTGGTATTTGCCGGTTATCCAAACTATTCAAAATTTCTGCTACCGGTTCTCCAGAACCTGTCAGAACCTGCTGGATTTCACCCCTGGGGTGGGGCCAGCCAGAAATTTAACTACTGGTTTTCCCGAACCGGCTCGAACCAGCTGAATCCCACCACTGGATGTTTCTCAAAGAAGTCTCCTGTAGGGCTTGCTCTCTGTGAATTATTTTTAGATTTTTACACATTTTTTTTTATCCCAGCTAGATTTCACATCCAAAGAAGGCCTAGAGTTCACAGTCTTGTAGTTTCTAGACCAGAGCCTAAACTACCCTATCAAACTGATTCTGTGAATGCTGAATGGAAGTTTTGAACAGCTTGAGGTTAATTTCCTTCATTACTCACAAAAACTAACAAAAACAACCCGTCTCACTGCTACCCCAGAAGGCCAAATATAGATATCTCTGTTCTTATTTCAGACTAAACAACAACTACTACTAGACCAATTGTTAATTAATTGATACTCAAAAGAAATAATAGGTTATTTTCTCTTTGGATTATTATGATTTTTTTTTCTGTGAGAATGTAAAGATGACAGGGAATAGAGGGAGGAATGGTGGATGGATAGACAGGTTGTGGACAGACACTGTCCACAGATTGTGTACAAAATCAAATTTATAGATTAAATCTATTTGACAAAAAAAAATACCTTTTTCCATTTTTTGTTAATATACAGTAGCTAGTGCTATATTTATTAAAGTTTAACCCAGCTGAGATTGTCATCAATTGGGATTTGCAAATCAGCTTCAAATGTTGATTGCAAATTGATATAAAATTAATATTCCGCTTAACCAAATTCTGTGGATGCTATGTTGTGAAGAAGACAAAAACCAAGAGAGAATTCCAAAAACTTTTAAAATTTTGGAGCACGTTGAAAAGGAAAGGAAAAATTTATATTTCTCCTCAATGCATAAAACAAATAAGTATGACTGCATTTAATTAAAACAAAAACCTGAGTTAGTACAAAGGCATTTCCTTTCTGGGTAGAAATATGATAGGTCTCTCTTGAGTTTTAAGCATGGTTAAACATTTCATACAACAAATGGTTTGTAAAATTGTGTGATCATCCTTCATCAGTAAAACAACAAGAGAAAAGGAGCCAAATAAGCTTTTAGCTATTAAAAAATACTTTCTGAATACTTTCTGGGTATTTAAGTAAAATAACTTGTAAATACTAATTATATATTCCTGTATGGAAAATCATTACCAATACTGATTCTAAAAATACTGAAGGAAAAGAAGAGACCAGGAAATTTTATATCCCTTCTTCTCTATTAACATAATTTATTTTGGGTTATTTGTGCATTCACCTACTGTATATTAGAACAATACTGGTGTAAATATTACCGTCGTATGTTACATAGGGAACTTGAAATCCTTTGCCACTGTTTCCTTCATTTGATTTGAACTGAATCCACAATTTCCGTGACCGGGAGGTGAATGCTATGGGTCTCTCATAGGTTTGGCAGGTTTCATAGGTAGTAATTGATGTAGGTGAAGCTTAAAAATAAAAATAAAATAAACATACAGATTTTTGTAAAAATTAAATTTCATTTTTCAAGATAAGCGAAGTGCTACATTTCGCATTCTTTCTAGTCCAGGGCTATCAAACTCGATTTCATTGAGGGCCACATCAGGGTTGTGTTTGACCTTGGGGAGGCGGGGTGGGCGTGGCCAGGTTGGATGTGGCCAGCTCAATGTCACTCCTGTTGGGGGCACCTGTCGTGGCCGCAGCGCTCTGCCAGTGAAAACGGGCTCCCGAGCTCCGTTTTTGGCTGCCACGGCCTCCTGCAACCCTCTGCCAGTAAAAACAGAGCTCAGGAGGGCCTCACTGTTTTTGCTGGCAGAAGCACCGCAGGCCAGTCCTTCGCTGTTTTCCAGGGCGGGCCAGATCTAAGTACCCCCCGGGCCTTGCGTTTGATACCCTTGCTCTAGTCCAAGATTAGCAAGACTTACATCTCTATGTCGTTTTTCAAAGAGAAGTGTTTCCTAATTATCCGGAGGCCATGTTTTTCTGGGGACTGAACAATGAACCTTCCTTATGTAAAGTCTGTATTATTCAAACTATATCCCATTATGTTGCAGCTGATCTAATTAAACTAACTTTCATTGGCAGAAGTTCGGGAATCATTTGTAAGTCTTGTTTGGACTCATGATTATGCTAGTCCAGGGGTCTCCAACCTTGGCAACTTTAAGCCTGGCTAACTTCAACTCCCAGAATTCCCCAGCCAGCAAAGCTAGTCTATACTCTGAGTAATACTACATAATTTCATTTTGGGAGTTGAAGTCCGCCAGGCTTAAAGTCGCCAAGGTTGGAGACCTCTGTGCTAGTCTGAGTAATACTAAATAATGTCATTTAATATTTATTTTATTTATTTATTTTATTTATTTAATTTATATACCGCCCTACTCCCGAAGGACTCAAGGCGGTGAACAGCCAAACAGTAAAAATACAGAAATACAAAATTTAAAAAGGAGATAGAAATAAATTGGACAGTAGAAAACAAAAAAAGATCCAGAAGTGATTATTATATACAGGGTGCAATTCTGCAGAGAACATGGTCATTATCCAAGACCAGCCATTTAGACACTATTGAAAGTGTTGTACAGAAAATGTGTCAAAATCTTTGTCAGGCATTGAATTTAGAGTCAGTTCTCCTTGCAGATGTAGCTTCTAAATGATAAGAGCTAAGTCAACATTATGAAGTTTTATATAAATAAACATCACTCCTGAATCAGATAAACTATTCAGTGACAATTTTCTGAGATGTCAGTCTAGGAACAAAGCTTACCACTTTTTCTCATTACTAAAACATCACCACACTCATCTTCAATTGGGAGAAAGATTTCTGGAACTACAATGAGGATTCGTCTCTTTGGAGGTGGGCTTATATTCCAAGTGCATTCAACATTGGCTGGGTAATCTCCTGGATAGTTGGGGGATTCGATGTACCCTGTATAGTCTCCAAGTTCTCCACCACATTGTTGATCTACAGAGTGAGAGAGGGAGAGGGAGAGGGAGAGTGAGAGAGAGAAGAGAAGAGAAAGAGAGAGAGGGAGGGAGGGAGGGAGGGAGAGAGAGAGAGAGAGAGAGAGAGAGAGAGAGAGAGAGAGAGAGAGATGAAGTCAGACTGAGCTGTTTTACTTCTCTGTTTCTGCAACAAGGATTCTCTTCAGGTACTCATTGGTCTTACCTTAAGAAGCTATACAACAGTAAATCATTTTGCAAATTTAAAAAATTGCTTCGTGACTATTATTTTGGATGATTGTCCTTTGGGGTCTTGATCTAATTATAAATCTGATTGTGCTACGTTTTGTAGGCCTGGGAATGAATATCTGCCTTTGGCTGTGCTTTGAAATGGGTGGGAAGGGAAACACTGTTCTCCTTTGCAACTCCTTAAGTTCCTAGGGAAGACACAGATGGTTCTAAAAATGATGATCAGGGGCTAATTTATGCTCTCCAAAGCATTTTTTTGCTTCCAAATACAAGCTGTAGCTCCGCTCTAATCTCTCCTTGTATGTAAAGACAAGACTTAAATGGTAAAAACTCTTTCATCAATTCAAATGGGATGCAGATGCATCATGCTGCCGTTTAAAAAGTTAAATATTTCTTTCTTCTTCTTTTTTTTTTGGCTAACCCAAAGCCGAATTTGATAAACAGGGTGTGAATGTTTCCTCTTCCCTGAAAAAAAGCTTCCTATTTTGCGGAAGAAAAGGAAAATGGATTTGACTTTTCCCTTCCTCATAGTAAGCCCATATTTCTCCCCTACTACAAGATGCTTGCTATGGTTAGCAAGGTGATGATCACAGTGAATCCTTGCTCTGAACTAGCTTAATTTAACATGAGTGACAGCATCATACAGCCAACCCTGTTGATGTTGTGGCCCGCCAGCAGCCTGTGGAGCTGGCAGTGGAGTCGGACAGCGATGAGGCTGAGGAAGAACATGGGCCAGTCCTGGAGGCTGGGGAAGGCCTGGATGAGGGCTCGGTGTCGGAGGCAGAGATGAGGCCAGGGGGTCAGGGAGTGATGTACAGACTTTGGAGCCTCCAGAGGCTGACAGTAGAGAGGCAGAGAAATAGGAGAAGCCTGTTCCTAGTGCACGTATGAGAAGAGCTGCCAGAAGACAGGAGCAGCTAAAGCAGAGAGGACAGCTTGGGAGTAAGGCCAAGAGATGATTGGCCCCTCCCATAAGGCTTAAAAGACCAGCAACGGCTCTTGGCTTCTTTGCCGGAAAACAACCCTTGAGAGATTTGCTTCGTGTTTGGATGTATTTCTTTCTTGACAGCGTCTTCTGTTCCTGAACTGTTACCAAGAAGTCTTTGCAGTTTGCCTAATTATCCCAAGGTCAGAGATAAACTGAAGAATGGTGTTTTGAGGACTTTGCTTTCATTTAATTTGGAATACACCGGGGGGGGGGGGGGGCGAAAGCCCTACTAAGCAGGTATATAGAAAAGTATGAAGGCTATTGCTTAACGCATTGTAAGCCGCCCTGAGACTCCGGAGAAGGGCGGCATATAAATCAAACCAATGAATGAATGAATGAATGAATGAATGAATGAATGAATGAATAAATGTCACCCCTGCTCCTTCTTTTCACTAGACTAGACATACCCAATTCCTGAAACCATTCTTTATATGTTTTAGCCTCCAGTCCCCTGATCATCTTTCTTGCTCTTCTCTGCACTCTTTCTAGAGTCATGTAGGGTATCTACTTTGCTAAAGAAGACATTTCTTCCTTCTAACACAGAGAACAGACTGCCAAGATAGTGCTTCCATAATCCTTATATTATTTTAAAGGAAGTGAAAACACACTGGAGAGACATTGAGACCTTCAATTTTATAGTAGAAGCAAGAAGGATTTGTATGGGAAAATTGCCTTGCTGCTCAAAAACAGCTTACTTGATATGATCTGAGGCTGAGATCCTTCATATCCCACTGTCTTACTCTACTGCTAAGGATATGTCAGGTTTTAGACTGGCTGAGTTTAGAGGTGGGTGAATTCTTCATTTTGATAATGTTTACATCGCGGTCAAGCAAGTCATCATTGAATTTCATCTGTAAGATTTTCAAACTCAGCTCAATTATATAGTACAAGTGTAGCTTGCAGATGGGCTATGACTGGCAATAAGATTTAAGATTAACTAATTTAGTAACCGGCTCACAGGGCATTCAAGGCAATATTGCAAGTATGGCTGATCATCGGAAAAACTTACTTTTACAGTGTGTAACGTTAGTGGAACCATCAAAATCTGTGCTCGTATTTCCAGGGCAAGTGATGCAATAATTTTGGCCAAATTCAGGCTGGTAGGTTCCAACAGGACATCTGATACATCTGTGGGTTGTAGAGTTGTAGTAATGGCCAGGAGAACAATGAACTGTTCAGAAGAGAGGCAGGTTGTTTTATAATGTATGCAAGATAAAAGGAACAGAGGAAAAAAAAAATGAAACACATCAGGCTGGCACTGGGCAAAAAATCTTATCCAAGATGCATTTGCGACTTTTTACGAGAAATAAAATACCTGTTCTATTACAAATCAACCCAAAATCCTCACTGAAGGCACAAAGGACCAGCCTTAAATTATCATACTTTGGATGCATTATGCAAAGACCCAGATCTTTGGAAAAGGTTCTGATGATGGAAAGAAAGAGAAGGACGAGGATGACCAACAGCAAGGGGGGATGGACTCCTTAATGGTGAGACTTGGAAGAACAGGTTAGGGCAGTGATGGCTAACATTTTTGTCGTCATGTGCGGAAAGTGCGCTCATGCGCGACAGCACACACATGTGCCTGTACCCACAATGCAATGCACGCACGACCCCCCCATCCCCGTACATGTGTGCACGACCTGCCTGCGCACCCCCGCACATGCATGTGATCCCCCTGCGACCCCCCCGCCCCGTTTTGGGCCTAGCAGGCCTCCCTGCAGCCTCCTGGGACCAAAATCAGGCCACAGGAGGCCTGCTAGGCCCAAAACAGGCCACCGGGGGAGGGTGCGGTGACCCCCCCCGTGGCCCATTTTTGGTCCCAGGAGGCTGCAGGGAGGCATGGTAGGCCCAAAATGGGCCGCAGGGGGGGCGCCGCACTCCCCCCGTGCTCCCCTCACCCCTTGCGCATGCGTGCGCGACCCTCCCACCCCGGCATGTGCACGTCTCCTGTATGCGCCCCGCAGAGACCCAAAAATCAGCTGGCTGGCGGGAGGTGCGCACATGCGGGTTGGAGCGGAGCTGGATGACGGCTCGCGTGCCCACAGAGAGGGCTCTGTGTGGCACCTTTGGCACATGTGCCATAGGTTCGCCAATCACGGGGTTAGGGATAACCCCCAAGCATCTTGGAGAAGATCTATTTGTGTGGTTGCTACGAGTTGAATAAGATTTGATGAAACATACCCAACCCATCATTTTATGGTATTCTTATATTTTATTTTGAGCTGCCCTAATAATACATGGAAGGGCAGAACATAAACTTACCTTTAGTTTCGCAGTCTTGAAATGAAACGGCGCCCTCATATTTTGTCCCCAGCTGTCCACCACAGGGGAAACAGAGAGTCCTTCCTGGTTCAGACTGGTAAGTGCCAAGTGGACACAGTCTGCAAGGTTTAAAACCATCAAAAGAAAACTGCCCAGGAGAACACTGCCCTAGAAAGGGAATAAATCTACGGTTTACACATAAACATAGCTAAGGCACAGTCCCAAAGGTGCTTTTTTTCAAGAGGCAACTGGACTTTCTGTTTTTTTCTTTGAAGACGTTTCGCTTCTCATCCAAGAAGCTTCTCAGTGCTGAAGAAGCTTCTTGGATGAGAAGCCAAAAAGTTCAGTTGCCTTTTGGAAAAAAGCACCTTCGGGACAACCATGACCTGGATGACTGAGAATCTCCATAGACAGCTAAGGCACAGCTTACCAGTTATCTCAGTGTCTGTGGCATTTGCTCTTCGGGATTTTTTTTTAACAACGAAGGACTTTGGAAGTTGCAATCATGTGACTGTGGGAAGCTACAACTGGTTGTAAATGTGAGCCAGTTACCAAGCTCCTGAAATGTGATCGCACGACTGTGTGCATGACTGTGCATGCACACAGCAGTCTTAACTTTGAGCTATGAAATCTGTTGTAACTCAAATGGTAAGTGATCAGATCAGTGGTGAAATCTAAAATTTGTTACTACCGGTTGTGTGGGCGTGGCTTGCTGGTGGTGGCAGCCACCAGCAAGCTGTGACTGGGTGGGCGTGGCCAAATTTTTTTTCTTTTAAAACCATTTTTTCTACAACCTCTTTGGCAAAGAGGTTGTAAAAAAATGCTTTCAAAAGGCTCTGGCGATCCCAGCTGAGTTGCCTGATCAGCAGAGGCTTTTTTTCTTTTAAAAGCCTCTGCCGATCAGGCAACTCAGCTTGGATTGTCAGAGGCATTTAAAAGAAAAAAAGCCTCTGCCGATCAGGCAACTCCTTGGATCGTCAGAGGCATTTAAAAAAGAAAAAAAGCCTCTGCCGATCAGGCAACTCAGCTTGGATCGTCAGAGGCATTTAAAAGAAAAAAAGCCTCTGCCGATCAGGCAACTCAGCTTGGATCATCAGAGGCTTTTAAAAGAAAAAAAGCCTCTGCCAAATCAGGCAACTCAGCTTGGATCGTCAGAGGCATTTAAAAGAAAAAAACCCTCTGCCGATCAGGCAACTCAGCTGAGATCATCAGCTGACGATCCCTTTGACGATCCCAGCTGGGCCACGCGATTATCAGAGGCTTTTTTACTTTTAAAAGCATTTTTTCAGCCGAAGAGGTTGTAGAAAAAATGCTTTTAAAAATTAAAAGAAAAAGCTGGTCATGGGAGGGAGGGCAGGGATTTTTGCTACTGGTTCTCTGAACCACCCGCCTCCATCGCGATTCGGTCCGAACCGGGAGCATTTCAGCCCTGGATCAGATATAGGTTGAGGACCTACATCTATAAGATATATTCTAGGACATTCAGAGTAACCTGATTGATGCTTCACATGAACCGATTATGCAGGACCTAAGCATATCTCAGGAAACATTTAGCAGGCACAACAGACAAGCCAATACAAAACAATGATTTACAGCTCAGGTCACAACTTCAGATTTCTCCTTTTTCCTATTTTCAATCAACTTTTCACTCCAGTTTCTGAATGAAATTTGTGAAATGAAATGCTATAGCAGTCGTAACTTTGAGGAGGGTCATAACGTAGCTATGAAATCTGCTGTAACTTCAAATGGTTAGTAAGCAATCAGATGTAGGTCGAGGACTACCGTATAAGATATATTCTAGGACAGGGGTGTCAATCTCGCGATGACACGTCATCAAGTGACGTGTCGCAACTTTTCCCCCCCTTCGCTAAAACGGGGGTGGGTGTGGCCAGCACGTGATGCATCTGGGCCACGAGTTTGACACCCCTGTTCTAGGACGTAATCTGATTGGTGCTTCATATGAACTGATTACGCAAGATCTAAGCATATCCCAGCATATCCCAGAAATCATTTAGCAGTCAATACAAAACAATGATTTACAGCTCAGGTCGCAACCTCAGATGTCTCCCTTTTCCTTATTTTTAATTAACTTTTCACTCCAGTTTCTGAAATGAAATTTGTGAAATGAAATGCTACTTGCCTCCACATTCTAACACACTTCGGGCACCTGCAATGCCTTGCCCATCATTCCCTGGACAAGGTTCACAGGAGAGCTGACCTTCTGTGTCTTGATATGTCCCTGGCGAGCAAGGGATGCATTGATTCTGTTCTCCACTATAATAGGTGCCAACGCTGCAGGTAACTGGGAAAATAAAAATCAATTCTATGTTTATTACCGTTTCATTATCACAGTGTCTTCATAGTACTATCGATCACTGTAAACCATCCCTTTAAACTGATCACACCCTTGTCCAGCTTTACAGTAGATAACATCTTGCAATCTTTGAGTAATATTTTAAATCCCCACGCAGCATCGTTGCTAATATTAAGAACACATTTTTACATCTGTACATAAAACAAGCTCTGAAATGTGTACATATTGTAGACCAGGGGTATCAAACTCGATTTCATTGAGGGCCGTATCAGGATTGTGTTTGATCTTGGGGGGGGGAGCAGGGGGGCATGGCCAGGGGGAGCGTAGTTAGCTCAACATCACTCGTGCCAGGGCCCGTGTGGTGGCCCGGGCACTCTGCCAGCGACAATGGGCTCCAGAGCTCAGTTTTCAGCTGCGACGGCTTTCTGCAACCCTCTGGCAATGAAAACAGAGCTCAGAAGGGCTGCCCGCAGCTCTCATGAGCTCTGTTTTCAGCTGCAACAGCCTCCTGCAACCCTCTGTCAATGAAAACGGAGCTCACGAGGATTGCCGGCGGCCCTCCCGAGCTCTGTTTTCACTGACAGTGGCACCACTGGTTGGTCCTTGCTGTTTCCAGGGTGGCCCTGCGGGTCAGATTTACGCACCTTTAGATTTACTTTGAGTTTGACACCCCTGTTGTAGACAATACAGACAAATATCAGGCTTCTAATTTGTTCAGTTTAGGAAAAAATATTAATAGCAACATCTGGAAAATCCTCTCATGAGAAAACAATTTTTCTGGGCATTTTATTCGAATCTTACCACATTTTCCATCTTGCTGCACTTGCCCAGTACTGCAGGAATGTCCTTCGCTGGCAATTTTAGCTGTCTTTTGAGCTACTTCGTACTCTGTCCCAGAAAACTGAATGTAAAATTGCTGCTTGTTAATAGATTTTCTCAAGGTTTTGATAGCTGTTTGTAGTTTCTGTTCCATCCTTTTTCTCAAACAGTCAACATTGCAAGTGTCTAAAAGGGAGAAATAGAAACGTTAGCGTCAACTGAGAGCTGAATTAGAACACAGTTTTCAGAGTCGCCTTGCTACCTCACTGGGTCCTCTAATTTGTCTGGAGTAAACTATATTTCTGAAGTCACTGACGCCTCCAAGAAAAGGAAGGCGTTCATATCAATAATTGAATTAATCTATCTCAATTAATAGAGGATGATGTCTTAGACAATGTTGCCTGCTACACCTATGATATCTGAATCAGTATGTTGAAATCCCATAGCCTTAGAAAACTTGCTTGGCATTTGCTTACTTATTACCTACAATCTTCAGGAATCTCTTTACGGATTCAGTAGATTCAACTCTCCCATGCTGTTTCTAGATCTGTTTCTTCCACTAGATGCCCCTCCTGCAGCCTAGCTGCCTTTCTTCTTGGTCAACGCTCAATTCCTTAACTTCAACCTCGTTTCTGTATAAGCAGGGGTGAAATCCAGCAGGTTCTGATAGGTTCTGGAGAACTGGTAGCGGAAATTTTGAGCAGTTCAGAGAACCGGTAGCGGAAATTTTGAGTAGTTCGGAGAACCAGCAAATACCACCTCTGGCTGGCCCCAGAGTGGGGTGGGAATGGAGATTTTGCAATATCCTTCCCCCAGGAATGGGGCGGGAATGGGGATTTTGCAGTATCCTTTCCTGGAGTGGGGTGGGAATGGAGATTTTGAAGTATCCTTGCCCACCAAGCCATGCCCGCCAAGCAAAGCCCACAGAACCGGTAGTAAAAAAATTTGGATTTCACCACTCTGTATAAGATCATAATCTTATAAAGTTTAGGGTTTGGTATACGTTTGCTTTTGTTTTTCTTTGGGACTATTTCTTATACACAGAATAATCTGATGACTATCAGTTATTTTTAGACACAATGTTTTTAGGCAGTACTCACACACATATACATATCCATTTACATCTATCCATCCATCCATCCATCCATCCATCCATCCATCCATCCATACCAGGGGTGGGTTCTACTTACCTTTACTACTCGCTTCGCTTACGCACATGCACAGAAGCATTTTGGTGACGTCGGGGTCAGTGGGTGGAGCCTCCTGCCCGTTTTACTACCGGTTCTATAGAACTGGTGCAAACCGGGGGAAACCTACCACTGATACATACATAGCAGGGGTGGGTTTCAAAATCCATCGCTACCGGTTCGCTTGTGGACGTGTGCATGCATGTGCAACGCTTCTGAGTGTGCGCAGAAGCATCCGGGCAAGTGGGCGGAGCCTCCCGCCACTGCCATTACCAGTTCACCCGATCTGGGGCGAACCGGTAGCAACCCACCACTCATACATACATACATACATACATACATACAGTCCACTATTATTAAAACCAGTTCAGATAATTATTTCTACGGACAGATTCCCAATAATAATAATAATAATAATAATAATAATAATCATAATAATCATAATCATAATCATAATCATAATAATAATAATAATAATTTTATTTCTATACCGCCCTTCTCCCGAAGGACTCAGGGCGGTGTACAGCCTATTTAAAAACAGAATAAACATCAATTTAAAATAATTTAAAAGTATTAAATAAATTTGGCTTAATTTAAAAACCCCCAAAATTTAAAACATCCAATTAAAAATTATGTTGCTAACCCAGCCTGGTGGAACAATAGGGTCTTGAGTGCGCAGCGAAATACCCGGAGGTCAGAAATCTTACGAATTTCCGGGAGCAGTTCATTCCACAGGGCTGGGGCTCCCACAGAGAAGGCCCTCCCCCTGGGTGTCGCCAGCCGACATGACTTGGCCGATGGCACCCTGAGGAGACCCTCTCTGTGTGAGCGAAGTGGCCTGTGGGAGGCTATTGGTGGCAGAAGACGGTCTCGAAGGTACCCGGGTCCTATGCCATGGAGCGCTTTAAAGGTGGTGACCAACACCTTGAATCGCACCCGGAAGACCACTGGGAGCCAGTGCAGCTCGCGCAGGAGGGGTGTCACGTGGGCGCAACGGGTTGCACCCATAACCACCCGCGCGGCCGCATTCTGGACCAGTTGGAGCCTCCGAGTGCTCTTCAAGGGGAGCCCCATGTAGATAACAGAAACTTCTAGGAATATGAGTCAAGTTTAACCTTGATCTCAATATGGAATTTTGATTTCTCCTCTAAAAAATGAATAGTGAGAATTGAGAAAAGTTACATTTGGTGGATGATATCAAGTATTATAAAAGAAACCCATCGGAAGAGCTTCTGGGGAATGAGCTATACATTTGTGGAATATTTGTCATCCCTATGCGATGTGTGAAGGTGACAATATTTCTAATCATCAAAACTGGCTCAAAGAAATGACACAAACCATTTCACTAACCTGAGACTTCTTCAGACTTCATCTCCATTTCAAACTCAGCCGTGATATGGGATACTTCTTTTGATGGAGATTTTCGCCCACGGCGTTTTTTCTTAGAGGAATCACATTTGAGATTTACAAAAGTTATGTGGCAATTGTCTGCACAGGGGAACTGACCTCCTTTGCACAACAGAAACAACACGGAAAAAATTAAGCTGTGTAGTAGCGTTATTTCGGTGGTGTCGGCTGCATTAGCTTTAGTATGGTTGGTATATTAAAAATATCTTCATACGCCATTAATATTTTATGGATCAGGGTTAGAGAAACCCTCCAAAACCATTTATTGAAATGTATCAATACCTTTAAGAAAACCGTACCGTTTTTACTATTAAAATAATATATCTAGTTATGTTCATGTCTTGGCTTTTTTTTTTTTAAAAGAGAGGTAAGTTGCAAAGACTGTTCCAGCTATTGCAAAGGATTCCTCCAAATGATGAGTATCCTGAAAAGGCAGCAGATACCAAACTATAGAAGAACAGGGATCCATGGGTGGATGAAAACGTGCTGTTTATTCAAATTCCAAACTCTGTGCCCATCCAAGTATTGCTGAACTATAATCCTAACCAATTTACTGGTTTTAATCTAGCAACACAGGACAGGGGCTCAAACTCCCCACTCCTTTCTAAGTAGATCTGAAGTACAGGTAGTCCTCAACTTACAATAGTTCATTTGTGACTGTTCGAAGTTACAATGGCCCTGAAAAAAATGTACGACCATTTCTCACACTCATGTCCGTTTGTTCTGCCCCCGCTACGGGCCCCAAAGAACGCAGCACACACAAAGTCCGTTCAAACCTTAGTTTACTAAATAAACCAGATTTTTACAACAACGGCTGTTAATTAACTGCATTAACAGCCGCCAAGAATTCAAAGAATAATACTGAAAGCTTACTGTGGTTGGCAGAATGCCCAGAAGCAATTTGCAGGAAGCTGATAAGATAAGCAAGACAAGACACAAAGGTATGTGAACGGAGTTGTTCTCTGAAAATTGCTTCAGTCGGCGTTCCTCCTTAAATAGGCTAAGGGAGTGGCCAATTAGCCCCAAGCCTTACTCTCGAGGAGACCTCCTCCTGAGTACCCACTCCTGCCTTTTGGCAGCTCTGCGTGCCCGTGCATCAAGAAAAGGCTCCTCCTCTTCTTCCTCTTCACTTATGGGAGCTTCTGGAGATTCTGAAGGCCCTGGTTGAATCCCCGCCTCTGGCACCACATCTTCTCCAGCCTCCTCATTGTCCGACTCGAGTGCCAGCTGCACATGCTGTTGGCGCAGCACCACACCAGCCTCCTTGCTGTCAGAATCAGCTACTAGCTGCACTGGCCCCTGACGGGCCACAACATCGTTGCAGCATCCCCATGGTCACGTGATTTACATTTGATGCTTACAATTGGTTCATATTTATAATGGTTGCAGTGTCCCGGGGTCATATGATCCCCTTTTGCGACCTTCTGTGTCAAAGGGGAAGCCAGATTCACTTAACAACCATGTTACTAACTTAAGAACTGCAGGGATTCACTTAACAAACAGGGCAAGAAAAGTCATAAAATGGGACAAAACTCAACCAATTTCTCACTGAGCAACATAAATTTGGGGCTCAATTGTGGTCGTAAGTCGGGGACTACCTGTACCAGAGAGGTCCATGAGAGTCACGTGTCCATCTCCCTTCCTGCCTCCCTCCCATTCCTGCCTCACCAATTGATGATGAACGCAGAGACTGACGATCAGAAATCAGCAAGTTTCCAGTTACAAGATACTGCAGACAGTAGATTTTATACTATAATGTCCTTAATGGTTCCTTTAGTAATATCAAGAGATACCAACACATGGTTTAATTAGACTGAGCTACCCATTTATTTAACACCAGGAAAAAAGGCCTTTCAAAATTATAGCCCTCCGTTTTTCCCCCCTAGTATAGCTTCCTCTTTTTTTTAGAAATCTGATACATGAACAATCCATTTAGTGCTTAATTTTCTTCTCTTTCGTTCATTTCCCACTCCCTCGATTTCATTTCCTTTTTTCTTTGCATATTGTGAGCCTTTTTTCCCCTTCACAATTGAAACACAGGCCTTTTTAGGATTAATCTCAGTTGGTTAACTGGGCCCCTTTGGATTATGTACAGGTAGTCCTTAACTTACATCCACAATTGGGACCAGAATTTTTGTTGTTAAGCAAGGTGGTTGTTAAGTAAATTGTGCCCATCTTTATGGCCTTTTTTGGCCATGGTTATTAAGTGAATCACTGCAGTTAAATGAATCACACAGTTTTTAAGCAAATCTGGCTTCCCTCATTGACTACGCTTGTCAGAAGCCATCCAGGGAGATCACCACTGGCAATTAAATGACCTGGGGCACTGCAACGATTCTAAATATACTAGTTGCCAAGTGCCCAAATTTTGATGATGTGATTGTGGGGATGCTGCAGGGGTCATAGGTGCAAGGACCTGTCATGGTGGACTTCTTATACATCTCTGCTTGCAACCAGACAATGGAAAATACGGAGGGGGAGGGGAATAATTCAGGGGTGGGATTTATTTATTTATTTATTTGTTTATTTATTTATTTATTTATTTTATTTCTATACCGCCCTTCTCCCGAAGGACTCAGGGCGGTGTACAGCCTAATTAAAAACACAAAGACAGACAAAATTTAAAAATAATTCAAATTATTAAATAATAGGCCCAATTTATAAAACCCCAAATTTAAAATGTAAAATCCCATTTAAAACCGGATTCAGCCGGTTCGGATCAGTTCAGGCAAACTGGATGCTAATTTTACGTCTGGTTCGCCGAACTGGTAGATGCAAGCACTGGCTGGTCCTGCCCACCCTGCCCCTCCCCTCCCAGGAGTCTCCACACGGCCCATTTTGGATGTCAGGTAAGTGCAACACCCATGCAGAGGATCTGGGAGGGTGAAAAACAGGCCTCACGGAAGTTCCACAAGTCTGGAAACAGGCTCGTTTCCAGCCTCTGGAAGACCTCCGGAGCCCAGGGGAGGCTGTTTTTGCCTTCCCAGAGGCTCGAGGAAAGCTTCTGGAGCTTGAGGAGGGCAAAAATGCCCCCCCCGCCATGGTGCATGAGGCCGAGTAGGCCACACCCACCATGGCCACACCCACCCAGCAACTGGGCAGAGAATCGGTTGCTAAAATTTTTGAATCCCACCCTTGGAGTAATTGCAATGTACGGGGAGCTGGGAGGGAATTGAAGAATTTATGAGCAACGTCTGTGTCCTGAGAGAATTTCTACCACTTCAAGGTCAAATGCTGGGAAACCTCCAAAAGGTGCAGGTTGTTCCCAAAACAAACTGACTGTATATGATTGGTGGACAATGGGCGGCCCAGGGGAAAAAGGGGACTTTACTAAGCTGTTTTTTTTGAGCAAAAACTTCAGAACTGGCTTTGCTTCTTCTGTACCTATGTGGAATTGTCAGTAAAGATATACTCTTGGAAAAACAATGCCCTAGGACCGTGATGGTGAACCTATGGCACGCGTGCCACAGGTGGCACGCAGAGCCATATCTGTGGGCACATGAGTGTTGCCCTTGCTCAACTCCAGCGCACATGTGTGTGCCGGCCAGCTGATTTTCGGGCCTTCCAGATCCACCGGAAGTCGGGAAATGGGCCGTTTCTGGCCTCCAGAGGGCCTCTGGAGCCTGGGGAGGGTGAAAAATGGGCCTATCGGGCCCACGTGCCATCGCATGCCAAAAGGGAGAGCATGGGGGGTGGGGTGCATTGAATTAAGGGTGTGGGCACGTGCGCGTGCAACCCTCCCCCACTCCACCCGCTTTTGGCATGCGACGGCAAAAAGCTTAGCCATCATTGCCCTAGGAGTTTCTTTTGCTGCATGTGCCAACAGGACAGTTGACAGGACCAGAAAAAAAAGTCACTTTTTTCAGTCCTGTTGTAACGGTTGCTAAACAAAAGTTGTAAGTTGAGGACTACCTGTAGTTTATTTCTATTATTGTATCACTAGCAATGCAATTAAAAGAAAACAATCAGGGCAGCTCCCACAACTTGTAAAACAGAATTAAGCAAAATCCCACATGTTAATTTACACCGATCTGAGAAAAATTGTAGTGTTTCACTAGATTTTTTTTTAATGATTAAGATTAATGATGATTAGTCTGTTGTACCTAGAAGAGTTTGCTGCTTTCCAACTTCCTTAATCTTCTCTTTGTTGCGAGGCCTTAAGTGACACTTGGCATCTTTAATTTTAAAGCGAGCCTTCTGTTTGATGGGTGGCATTAAGATGTCTAAAGAAAGAAAAGAAATGATAATTTATTCTATATTTTTAAGAAACTAAAAGATAGCCCTGGAGAGTTTTGTAAATAAATGAGAGAAAGGTTAAACAACAATTTTGCATAACTGTTTTTAATGCCGGCATTCTGAGCAGCATAAAATTTGATAAAACCAAACATCACATGTTTCATACTAACATTTTTTTTTACTGAGCTAGGTTAATGAAATAAAAACCATGATGAGTTGGTAATAGGAATTCTGGAAGTTTGGTAGGTAAGAAAAGTGTTCTTTTTTGGAAAGCAATCAAAGGCTTATTTATTTACTTATTTACGATGTTTATACCCTAATCCCAGTGGAATCCAGGCAGAAGATAGCAGTGCCCCAAATAAGTAGGGTTGCCAGGTGTCCACTATTTGAACGGACAGTCCACTTTTTTCACATTATGTTCACTATTTTTTTTCACAAAATAGTGGACATTTTTTTTATTCAAAACTTTGTATATTTTTTAATATTTCTCAACGTTGTACTGAAATTAAAGAATTATTCCTTAAACACAAAGAATTGATCAAAGCTGCGCAGTCAAATAAAAAATACACACGACAGCAAAGTAAAATGTAATTTAATATTTTACATATTATTAGAATATATTTGATGTTTTGAATTTTAAGTAAAGTTTTGAAGTGATTATTTTAATACGTGTTAAAATGTTTGTAAGAAAATATATAATTTAATTGTAAATTTTTTTTTTATTTTTTTACTACTTAACACCCCTCCATCCCACCCGCTTGTCCGCTATTTTTTGGAAGCAGACCTGGCAACCCTACAAATAAGATGCATAGTCAAAGAACCCCAAAGTACCACATAGATGAAGACCGCCATGTCTCAGGACCCCAAGGGACTGAGGTTCACCAAAGCAATACAGCCTGGGCTTGCTTTTGGAATATCGACAATGTAGGTGCTACATGTACCTTCAAGGAGAAGATACAGTGGGAACTCAGGGTGCCGTCGGCTAGACAGTGTCGACTGGTGACCCTTAGAGGCAGAGCTTTCTCTGTGGGTGCTCCCACCCTCTGCAACCAACTCCCTCTGGGGCTCCGGTTGGCCCCTGACCTCCGCATCTTCCGCCGCGACTTAATGACATGGTTGTTCAGCCTGGACTGGGGGGGGTTAACATGTATTTTAACACGCTTTTATTCGGATATTTTATTGTTGTGAGCCACCCTGAGTCTTACGGAGATAGGGCTGCATATAAATAAAATAAAATAAAATAAATAAATAAATAAACTGACCCAGGCCGTTATATAGCCCATATCACATAAACTTCATGGGGGAGGAGTTTTCAACAGGCCCTTTTAAAAGGACTGGATTAGATGGGCGGATGTCCTAACATTGATTTCTATAGGGCTGTTGTGGCCCCACCCTCTGAGCCTGTCCCATCGGAGGAAGAAAGCTCCGAGCATGAGGAAGAGGAGTCAGCCAGGCCTCCCTCTCCAGGCCCCTCCCCTCTGGCATTGTCTCAAGTGCCGGCCGAGGGAGAGGAGACAGCTGATTCGAATCAGAGTGATGAAGAAACATCATTCCTGGACGCACGCCTCTGAAGGCGTGATAAACGTTTGCAGCAGCTTAGGAGGCGTGCTAGGGATTAGAACTGAGTCACTGGACCACACCCCAGAGACTATATAATAGAGGGTAGTGGTCAAGGATCCTTGTGACGAACAAAGCAAACCCTGGATAGTCACTAAAGCCTCGTCCGGAACTGCTGAGAGAAAGATTTAAAGTGTCGGACATTTGGACTCTTGAGTATTTATCTTTCTGTTTTACTTTGAAAATAAAGTCACTTGGCAGACGGTGTGTCTATCGCTGCCAAGTGGGAGATAAGACCTGGGTGCGTTCCAAAGTGTTTCCTTAACCCTCGACTGGCTGTGTTGTGTGTGTGTGGGTACGGGGACAGATCAAGGGCTTCAAAACAGGGGTGAAATCTACTTACCTTTCCTACTGGTTCATAAGTGCACACAACGCACGGATACTCTGCGCATGTGCAAACCCTTCTGTGCATGCGCAGAAGGTAAAAAAACAGGTTACTTCCTGGTTAAAACCAGGAAGTAATGACGATTGGGCGGGTGGGTGGAGCCTCCCGCTGCCATTGCTACCGGTTCTCCGAACCACCCACTGCCATCGCTACCGGTTTGGCCGAACCGATCTGAACCAGTAGCATTTCACCCCTGCTTCAAAGGTAATGAGCAGAAGTCTATTGGCAACCAATTCAAGAACCCCAAAATAGGTATTATTCCACAATAGTGATATTGTCTTGCCAATAGGTTTTCATGGCTCTGTTTAGTACTTGTTTCTGGGGCATCTCTGAAAACAGTCCTATGTAAGAAAAGTTGCAACAGTCAGGTCAGATGATGGTGTGAGTTACAAAGAGGGTTGTAACTGGCATACCAGCCAAAGCTGAGAGTCGAGAAGCATCCCCAAGTCACAAAACCTTTTACCAATAGCAATAGCAATAGCACTTAGACTTATATACCGCTTCACAGTGCTTAATAGCCCTCTCTAAGCGGTTTACAGAGTCAGCATATTGCCCCGAACAATCTGGGTCCTATTTAGTTTCATAAGTGGGCCTGAATCCTGACTGAAAATGATCCAGACAGCATGTTTCCTCTAGGATTCTCTACAGCTGATTTTGCAATATTTTCTCAACAATCTTCCTCAGGTACGGCAGGTTCGAGCGAAGGTGAAAGTTACAGATATGGAAGGCCCCTATATGAGCTCTACCCCTTCTCTCTAAGTAGTAGTGACTGCCTCCTCACACCCACCTAGCTACCCAAAGGACCCAGCAGGAGCATAGATCTAGCCCACAACTGACAGAATTCAAATGATTAGGGAGCCCTTTCTACTTCCTCCAGTTCCAGAAAATTAAAAGAAAACCAGGTCCCTCCACAGTTGCCACCTGGTCATGATCATGGACTCTATCCAACTGTCATCCAACCAGAACAAATATGAGCAACATTCTGCGAAGAAATCTACAAATTTTATTTGTAAACATGCAAGTGTGATGGGCGGTATATACTGTATTTTTTGCTCCATAAGATGCACCTGACCATAAGACGCACTCCTGTTTTCGGCCTCTGTGCATCCCATTTTTGGCCTCTGTGCGTCCCATATTTGGCCTCTGCGCATCCCATTTTTTGCCTCCACACGTCCCGTTTTTGGTCTCCTTTGCGGAGGCCAAAAACGGGGCACACGGAGGCCGAAAACAAGGTGCACGGAGGCCAAAAATGGGACGTGCGGAGGCTGAAATGGCAGAAGGGTGGGGGCCGGTGGGTGGACGGGGCTTCAGCAATATTCGCTCCATAAGATGCACAGACATTTCCATCCACTTTTGGGAGACAAAAAAGTGCATCTTAGGGAGCGAAAAATACAGTACATTTGTTAAATAAATAAATTTTATCTGGTATATCTGCAGGCAGGATTCTATCCACCTTTCCACCAAAGGGTTTGGATAACTCTCAGCAAGGCCACTGAGTTAGGACCTGCAATTGAGGTTAGGGTGGAAAAGAATGGTTCCTTCACTGTGCAGGGCTAAACATTACCAGGGCTCACTTGTGTCCATGTCTGATTTGTCACCATTGCTGCTCTAGATGTCTTTTCACTTTATTTCTTTCAGTTCCCAGTAATTTAGGAATTTCTGGGTTGGTGGCAGTCAGAGTTAGTATTCAGCCGGTTCAGACCGGTTTGCCCGAACTGGTAGCGGAAATTGTGGGTGGGCCTCCTCACCCGCCCCGGCTTTATGCCATCCTATTTAGGCATGTTTTTGAGGCCAGGCGCATGCGCAGAGGGCGCATGTGTGAGCAAAGCACATGCGTGGAAGGCCGGTCGCATATGTGGAAGGCGGGCATGCGCGAACCGGTAGTAACCTAATGTCAAATCCACCGCTGGTGGCAGTGCAACAGCCTTGCTGGAACAATCTTGTCAAAGGCTCTGGTCACTTTCAAATCCCACAGATTGACCGGGCACAAGTTATGAAATTGTTGGGGAAGCCCCCTGGTGCTTTCCGGGTAGGGCAGAGTTTCAAGTTGAGAGGAAAATCATTGCTTTGGCACACGCTGGGATGCACCTGGGGGCAACCCACTTTTTTCCACTGAATTTCACCGCAGGCACTCGCCTCATCTTGAGAAAATGTGCAGCTGTTGTAAGAAGTTCATACAAGGTGACCAGCCCTTTTCTGCTAGAGCTTTTCTCTTCCTCTTCAGATTTGAAGTACTACACAGGTATATTACTTTGTATTTCCTTAAAGAAGCTTTCCTTTAAAATCATATATCCAGAAGATAGAATAGGGTCATTCACCAAAATTATTAGGCTGCACTGCAGGTGTTCAAATAACTACGTCAACAAATTGCAAAGAGCATTCTTACCCATACAACCTGGAAGTGTACTGTTGCGTTTTTGTTGTGACTTGCCCTGTTGTACTGGCACTCCACAGCTTACTGAATAGCTATTTTCTGAGTCTGAACAAAACGAAAAGAGAAAGATATATCTCAGTATCATCCTTTCCTTCCACTGATTTATAGAAATATTGTTAAAATCTATTCATGTTGATTAAAGTAGTTGGGTACTAAACTGGTTCAGGGGTGAAATCTACTTACCTTCCTTATTACTTACCTGGTTAAAACCAGGAAGTAATGACACCCGGGCAGCGATCGCTACCGGATCGCCGAACCACGGGGAAAAATTGCTACCGGATCGGACGATTCGGGAGCATTTCACCCCTGAGCTGGTTTGACATCCAGATGTACCCAATCAGTTTTGTCACATGTTTAGTTGATCAAGAAAATCACAAAGGAATGAGTCATCCATATCTGTAAATAACTTTCCCCTCATAGCTGCTAGCTTTGGGATAGGATGAAGCCAGAGAAAAGCTTAGATTAACAGTTGCATAAGGGTTCTTTCTATGGGTTCTGGGAGAGCAGAAAATATTGCTGTTCACACACAGACACACACACACACACACACTTCCCTGCCCTGCCCTGCCAATGGTGATGTTTTTCTTCACAGGCTATAAAGCAAATTAAGAGCAGGGATTTTATTTCCTTCCCCTCCCATCAAATGTGCATCAGCCCATGAAGAAACTTCTGTCCCAGGATTGAGCTAAAGCTGGGGAATGAGTCAAGTGTTTTGCACAAGCATTTTACAAGTGCATTCAAAGACAGCCCTAGTATGGGTTGCTACTGGCTGCTACCGTGTTTCCCCGAAAATAAGACTCTGTTTTAAATATTTTTGAAGAGCTTGGCCTTATTTTCGGGAAGGTCTTATTATTTTGGAGTGCGTGGAGCAGAGGTGGGTTTCAGCAGGTTCTGACCAGTTCTGAAGAACCGATAGTGGAAATTTTGAGTAGTTCGGAGAACCGGTAGTAAAAATTCTGACTGGCCCTGCCCCCACCTATTCTCTGCCTCCCAAGTCCCAGCTGATTGGGAGAAAATGGGGATTTTGCAGTAACCTTCCTCTGGAGTGGGGTGGGAATGGAGATTTTACAGTATCCTTCCCCTGCCATGCCCACCAAGCCACGCTCACCAAGCCATGCCACACCCACCAAGCCACACCCACAGAACTGATAATAAAATTTTTTGAAACCCACCACTGGCGTGGAGCAAGATGGGGCTCCTCTTGCCGTTTTGCCTGATTTCCAGCTCTGTCTCCCTAACCCTAACCAGAGGAAATGGCGGGGACCGACTATGCATGTGTTTAAATATTTTCGGGGGGTCTTATTTTTTGGGGGGGGGGCAGTGGTGGGATTCGGCCAGTTCGCACCACTTCGGCAGAACCGAAGTGTTAACTTTCTGAGCAGTTCTGATTGTTGGAAGAAATTATTAGGGCAGAGAACCGGTTGTTAAATTACTTGAATCCCACCACTGGGGGGGGGCGGTATTTTAGCGCATGCACTCAAAAGCCCGATTGGGCTTATTATCCAGGGAGGTCTTATATTCGGGGAAACACAGTAGTTGGGATGCTTTGACTATGATTTCTGGAACAGAGCAAACTAAGTTCATTGTTCAGTGGATATCAGCTGCTCGCATGGCCAATCAGCTGTTTCCACATGACCAGAGAAGAATTTGGGGAGGTACTAAGAATTATCCCTCCTGCCTGTATAGGTCAGTCAGAGAACTTAGCAATAGAGGAGAAAAGTCTTGTTTGAAAAAAGCTGGCATGTTCTCTGCCCAAGGTTTAAAGGTAAGGATTTGCTTTTAAATGGCCAAAAGGTCCCTTCTAATTCAATCTGGTAAGGCCATTTGACAGGGACCATGATTGAATGCTCAGTGAAAGACCTTAAAGGGCAATCACAATGCTCAACTTTTTTGAACAATAATCTAATTATTATTAATAGCTTACAAAAAGCTTTACTGAATATTCTTCCCATTGAGCTTGTCTCCAACTATATTTACAAAGTATTTCTTTGAACAGTACTAACTAAAATGTATTTTAACTCACTTTTAATGCCACTGTGTGGCCAAAAGTCAAGAATACAATGTCAACTCACAAAGCATCCCTGGCCTGCTCTCGAGTTGCCATAGGCCAGGGGGGATGGGAAACTGGCGAAACTGCACAGCAGCCAAAACCAGATGCACATTCCACGCTTATCTCCCTCAAGGCTGTATCCCAGGGAAACCTACAATGGTCGAAAGGGAGTGACCTATACTACTCTTGAAATTGCTCCGTCGGTGAATGTAATTGATGACATACCCGGGGGAGGGGGGAGGGGGGAACAGGGTCATAATTGGAGTGTAAATTACGTAGGGTCAGAGCTGGCTTCACTTCAGAACGTGCCGACATGAAGCTCCTAATAAATGACTGGATTTCTTTTGGTCACGGTTAGGGCCTCCGTCAGAACCCTGACATACAGCTAGTATGTATGTTGCATGTAAAAATGGGTGGAACTTCAATTGCATCGTTGTGACACCATCTTGACCTTTTTCAATATACCTTAAAGACATCTCTATGTGATTTATTTATGGACCAGGGGAGAAATGCTTTTAGATACCAACCTGGAACGAAAAGGGTGTTGGATGGACAGAATAAGAAACAGTTCTCAATTCCTCCTGATTTGCTACAGAGCAACTGAGCTTTGGGAACTGGATTGGCACCAGGCAAACATTTCACCATCTCTGAGGAAAAAAAAGCAGGAAGGAAGTGACTAATTCAGAAGACTAAAGGATCTTGCAGTCAACTTCATTTTGCTTCCAAATGGGTGAACAGGGGAAACATGTGAGCCAGGCTGAAACAAACGGAATATGTCCTATGAGCATAACCCAAAATGTAAATAAAAAATAAAATAAAATCCAAGCATCTAGTTTATGGGTGTCAAACTTGCCGTGTCACGTCAATGTCACGTGACGTATCATGTTTTTTTGCCTTCGCGGAGCTGGGGTGGGCGTGGCCTGCACATAATGCATCCGGCCCGTGGGCTGCCAGTTTGACACCCCTGGCTCTGGTTCGTGGGATTCCTTTTAAATAAGTTGCTAAGATGTATCTACGTAGCCAGAATGAAAGGTAAGTGCACTTTGACACTGCTACTAGTTGCAGCTTTTCCAGAAGAAGCATATCCCATTATCCCTCATCCTTTTCACTTATGGGTTAGATTGCTTCAATTTCCTATATAGAATAGAATAGAATAGAATAGAATAGAATGGAATGGAATGGAATGGAATGGAATGGAATAACAGAGTTGGAAGGGACATTAGAGGTCTTCTAGTCCAACCCCCTGCTCAGGCAGGAAGCCTTATACCATTTCAGACAAATGGTTGTCCAATCTCTTCTTAAAAACTTCCAGTGTTGGAGCATTCACAATTTCTGGAACCAAGTTCTGGAAGTTAATTGTTCTAACTGTCAGGAAATTTCTCCTTAGTTCTAAGTTGCTTCTCTCCTTGATGAGTTTCCACCCATTGCTTCTTGTCCTGCCCTCAGGTGCTTTGGAGAATAGCTTGACTGCCTCTTCTTTGTGGCAGCCCCTGAGATATTGGGAGACTGCTATCATGACTCCCCTAGTCCTTCTTTTCATTAAACTAGACATACCCAATTCCAAGAAATACAATGTCAACTCGCAAAGCATCCCTGATCTGCTCTCAAGTTGCCATAGGCCAGGGGGGATGGGAAACTGATAAAACTGCACAGCAGCCAAATCCAAATGCATGACTAAATGCCGAAGGCGCATGGAGCGCTGTTACCTTCCCACCAAAGTGGTCCCTATTTTTCTACTTGCATTTTTTACATGCTTTCGAACTGCAAGGTTGGCAGAAGCTGGGACAAGTAACGGGAGCTCACTCCGTTACATGGTGCTAGGGATTCGAACCGCTGAACTGCCGACCTTCTGATTGACAAGCTCAGTGTCTTAGCCACTGAGCCATCACATCCTTATTCAGTTTATAACCTTCACATTACAAAAAGTGAAAGAATGGAAAATGTCTATTACATAGTGTTACTTACCAACACAATCTTTTTTATTCCAGTGTAATTTTCTCCCAGGTGGACATAAACATTCATAAGTTCCCACAGTATTAAGGCATCCAGAATCACAGCTTCCATTGTTGATGCTACATTCATCTACATCTAAAAATATATTTAAATTAAATAGCATTGCCTTGTAAGGATTTGTTTTCATTTGCTTGAACAATATCTAAGAAGTACTACGTTGTATTTTAATATTTAATAATACTAAATGCAATATTGCAATATATCCACTGTTTCTAAAAAAACCGAATCAAAATCTCCAGAACTAGTATTTGGGTAGCAGACAACCTGGAAATCCTGGAAAGAGTATAGACTAGACTGGTGTTTTTCAACCTTGGCAGCTTGAAAAATTCTTTAATTTTCAAGTTCTGGGAGTTCAACTCCCAGAACTCCCAGAAAAGCATGCTGGTTGGGGAATCCTGGGAATTGAAGTCCACATATCTTCAAAGCTGCCAAGTTTGAGCAACATTACACCAGAGGTGGGTTTCAGCAGGTTCTGACCAGTTCCGGAGAACCGGTAGCGGAAATTTTGAGTAGTTCGAAGAACCAGTAGTAAAAATTCTGATTGCCCCGCCCCCATCTATTCTCTGCCTCCCAAGTCCCAGCTGATCGGGAGGAAATGGGGATTTTTCAGTAACCTTCCCCTGCCACGCCCACCAAGCCATGCCCACCAAGCAATGCGATGCCCACCAAGCCACACCCACCACTGCATTACACTACTAGGATATAAAGTAAAAAAAAAAAAAAAGAACACCCCAAAAATCTCACCATAGAAGATTGCCGAGCATTTCTATATTGTTGTCAAGAACAATTGCAAATTGTTGCAAGAAAATTACTATATTGTTGTCAAGAAAATTGTTGTCAAGAAAATCAGCAAAACAAATGGCTACCTATAGTTCAGTTTAATAGTTGCAGTTCTTTCTTTACAGGTGACTCCTATACTATGCCGTCTTGTCAATAACCGTTTCATCGTTTAGTTCATTTAGTGTTTTTAAGATTCTTTGCCCACTTCAAAATCTGCCCTGTTGTTAATGCAATTTTGACAACATTGCTTTTATCAAAACATTTCATACAAAAAGAATGAAAAAGAGTCAATCTTCCAACCTCCACAATGTGTCATTCCATATAACGTGTAACCGTTGTGACATAAGCATTCAAAACTTCCTGGATAATTGATGCAGGTATGGTCACAGGTCCTTTCAAATGAACATTCGTCTATATCTTGATTTGAAAAAAGGGAGAGAGGAAGTAGTGTAAGAAATTGTAAATTTAACCAACACACCAGTGGTGAGTTGCCCCCGGTTCGCACCGGTTCTATAGAACTGGTAGTAAAAAACCGGTGGGAGGCCCCGCCCACCGACCCTGGCGTCATCAAAACGCTTCTGCGCATGTGCAAAAGAGCACACGCATGTGTGAGCGAAGCAAGTGCGCACACGCGGCCCCACTGCGAACCAGTAGTAAAGGTAAGTAGAACCCACCCCTGCAACACACATATTGAAAATATCCATGTTTCTTAATATCCTGTCATAAATCATGGTTAATACCTGTCAAGCTATGACTAAAAGATACAAGCTTTGATTTTCTATGTGTCTTCCACGTGGAACAAATTGTCTACATGAAATGGCATACATTTCTATATTTTTTTTCTCAGAGATTATTTCCATTAAAACGTCACTTAAGGCAGCTGCTGAGTAAATAGAAAGAGGACCAAACTGATGTTTTAAATATGAGTTGAAATGTCATATTCAGCTGTAGTGTTCAGTTTGACCACAGAGAGTCACCACTGAATCTCTATCTTGTATCACACCAGAAATTAACTTTGCAACCTGGGACTTCAGTTTCATTAAATTTATTTTTCGATGGTTTAACAAGAAAATAGCCCTCCCTAATAGTTACACTTTTAAAAATTCATGATGCTTATAGTTGTATATAATGTTCTTTTACTAAGTGCTCAAAATGTTTCCCATTCTCATTCCTGAGATACTTAAAGCAACAGATAATTTGGATATATTACTATGCGCAGTTCCCCTTTGGGGAAGATTCCATAGTCACTTTGGGAGGTGCTTTTCAATTTGCATTGAAACGTTCTGAGCAAAGAAAGTGCAATTTGAGAGAATATGAAAAAGAAATCTTTGATTCTGATTTGAAGTTTATAAAAATAGATGAAGGCATGGACGAGCAACCTAAGGACGGTGGTGGCTCATAGCTTCCAAATCTCTACTTTGTAACCATCAGATTGAAGAAAATGGGGGGGGGGGAATGATATCTTGACACTTTTTTTTTCTCATTATGCTTAAATGTGCTAATCTTTCCCTAAATATAGTGAGGGGGAAAAAAAGAAGTCCTTAGCTTTACCCACCTGCAGGGGTGGGCTGCTGGAGGTTCGTGAGAATCTCTAGCTAAGATTCTGTGCAGTTCAGAGAACCCCCAAATCCCACTCCTGGCTGGCCCTGCCCACCCCGCCCTGCCCCTCCCAGGAGTCCCCATGCGGCCTGCATTTTGGGTGCAGGGCACGCGTGGAGGCTCGGGGAGGGTGAAAAACAGGCCTACCGGAAGTTCGGGAAGGCCAGAAACAGGCCCATTTCTGGCCTCCAGAGGGCCTCCAGAGCTTGGGGAGGCCGTTTTCATCCTCCCGGAGCCTGGGAAGGGCAAAAACGCTCCCCCCCGGCCGTGGTGCAGGAGGCTGACTAGGCCATGTCCACCCAGCAACCGGGCAGAGAACCCCTTGCTAAAATTTTTGAAGCCCACCCCTGCCTACCTGTGTTAATCACCCCAACCAGACTTGTATCACTGGCTAACTACCTGTATCACCTTTCCCCCCAAAGGTCAGGTGCATTGAAAGATAGCCTGATGCTAATAATAACTTAATCTCTATTTCTAAACAGAATGCCCAAAACTTATGAGAAGAACTGGTTATTAACTGTTTCTTTGAGAAGCCATCTGTAAATATATACATATGGAATCTATGCCTATATGAATCCCCATTCAGATGAGAGGTTTTTTCTTTCTTTCTAATGATATTTTCCCAAATTCTATGGCGGCTTATTTGAAGTCAGAGCCACTCCAGATTGAACTGGCAAAATTTAACTTCACCCTTCCTACCCCACCCAATTCCCGTATCACTGCTGGACCATGGGAAGCCAAATGTAGTTCCTAGAGAGGCTCAATTTTGTGTGACCACCCTAGGACATTTTTCTGATCTTGAAAGTCAGCCCTCTCTCAGTCCTATTTACGCAACACAGTTGATAGGTGGAGGGGATTAATGTGAGTCTGAAACAAGGGCATTTTGGAATTAAAATTATACCCCCCCCCAAAAAAAACAATTCTCTTGTTCCTTTGGTTTTGGTGTTCACATAATATGCCCTTGGGTACTTATATTCTTCTGATCCTGAGAATATTAAAGAAGAACGACTTAAAAACAATCAAAACCATTTTATGTACTCCAAAGCAATCCTTTTTTCCCCCTAGATAATCCTGGCTTTATTTTCCTTTCTTTTAGGCATTAGATGCCTACAACTTTATAAACTCTTTTCTTTGAGTTTTAGTAAAACCTGCTGCTAGGCTGCCTCCACATTTTCTGCAATCTTTCTCTCTAGACTCTCCAGTCTGTTGTGGAATTCAGCACTTTGTATAGAAAAGAGAAAGGTATTTCCCTATCTTAAGTCTACAGGGGGAAAAAACCAAACATATTATGAGATAAAGAAAGAACTCTAGAATTTATCCAGGATTCATTCTCTTCATCAACCTCTGATTTCAACCATTTGTTTGATTCATGCAGGAACTGGGCTTTGAAAAGTCGCAATAGATCCTCTAATTCTTAATCCTATTCAGTATTGGCAAGCAAAGGTTGCAAGGAGGATGAGAGGATGCACTGCACACAAATCCTCAGACTAATGTTGGGCAGTTGTACTTTTGCTTGTAGTGTTTCACTTATTTTGAACAAAATGAAATTGAGTAACATGTCTTTTCTAATATAGGAAGTATATGGCTATAGTGAAAAAAGGCGAAGCTCAAATATTTGTTGTAAGCATCCAGAATTGCTTAAAATGGGTGGCCATATTTTTACATACATATGTACGTACGTACATATGTACCTAGTATATACATACATACTATTGCATGAAGGCGAATAGAATAGAATAGAATAGAATAGAATAGAATAGAATAGAATAGAATTCTTTATTGGCCATGTGTGATTGGACACACAAGGAATTTGTCTTTGGTGTATATGCTCCCAGTGTAAATAAGGAGAATAAAATACATTCATCGAGAGTAAAAAGATACAACACTTAGTGATAGTCAAGGTTACTAATAAGCTATCAAATCGTACTAGGAAACAAATAAAAACAATATAATTGAAAGATACAAGCAACATGGTTATAGTAATAAGTGGGAAAAGATAGATACTAGTAAGGAAGAGAAGAACAATAGTAATACAGTCTTAGTAAATTATTTGACAGTGTTGTGGGAATTAGTTGTTAAGCAGAGTGATGGCATTCGGGAAAAAACTGTCCTTGTGTCTAGTTGTCTTGATGTGCAGTGCCCTATAGCGTCTTTTTCAAGGTAGAAGTTGAAACAATTTATGTCTAGGATAATTGTGGTTTCGGGATAATTTATGTCCAAGAAATTGTGGTTTCACGGAATCTAAGACAGGTTGAGACAGGTTCTGTTAAAGCATTTAGACCAGGGGTGTCAAACTCGATTTCTTGGAGGGCCGCATAAGGGTTATGTTTGACCTTGGGGGGCCAGGTGGGTGTGGCCAGGTTGGGCATGGCCAGTTCAATGTCAGTTGTGTGTGGGGCATCTGTGGTGGCCTAGGTGGGGCTGGGTGGGGATCCTCCTGCAGCCCTCTCCAAGCCAAAACAGAGCTCCATTTTTGCTGGCAGAGGCACCATGGGCCGGTCCTTTGCTATTTCCAGGGCAGTCCCGCAGGCCAGATTTAAACATCCAGCGAGCCAGATCCGTCTCATGGGCCTTGAGTTTGACACTCCAGATTTAGATTCTACATTTTACAAATTCCAAAGCACATTATTGTGTTACTCTGAATCAGCTGAATCAAGGGATCATCTCAACATCCATTTGGATTTATTCTTATTGTTAACATGACTGTCTTGTTTTTACTGGCTTTTAAGGAGAAATTGATTTTGTCTTCCCCATTAGAAAGCAACAGTCTTATGTGGAAATACTTCAGGGAAGTGTTTGTGCAATACTCCTTAATCTCTTAATAATCGTTTTAATAGTTTTAACATTAGTTTTAAATAAACGAGATAACACAAAGTAATGAATAAGCAGTTTTTCATTATTAAAGACCTGAAGCCACTACTACCGGTATCCATGCTAAAATGTCCCCAAAGCCCATCCTCCTGGGATTCTTCAAACTTCCCTCAGGTGTGAGAACAAAAAGACACAAGCAGGTATACAGGTAGTCCTTGGCTTATGACCACAATTGAACCCAAAATTTCCGTTGCTAAGCAAGACAGTTAAGTGAGTTTTGCCCCATTTTATGACATTTCTGGCCACAGTTGTTAAGTGAATCACTGCAATTGTTTTTCTCAATACTGCTTTTTCTTAGTAACTCAAAATTCCTTTCTAGTGAGAAGTGGAGTCCTGTCTTTGCTGAATTGTTATCTGTTTCTCATCTTTCATTCAAAAGTCAGAATGAAAAAAAGATGTTAGGCTTAAATTAGCCTCTACCACTCTTAATCACTCACTAAACTGTTAACATAGTTAAACGGTTAACTAGAACCCTGCTGTCTAGTTTTTCTTATGTTTGCTGTCCTGGATGTCAAATCCATTTCAGTCATCTCTGAATATAGCTAATCAGAGGTGGGGAAAAAGCTTAAGTATCAAATCAACCTTGAAAGGCAGAAATGTAATTCCAAAGTCTTCTTATGGTTAGAACAAAATTATTGAGACATATCAAAATATTCATGTCTTCAAAAGGGTTTGAGGAGCAGAAGATTTGCGAGACCTAAGACCAGGAATAGTAAATAAGCATGGCAGACTGGATCAGTGGCAGATGGGTGAAAAAAAATTGCATATATTCCAGACGGATTATACTTTCTAAAATATTTAACGATTTAGATAAATCCTCCTGCTGTCAACCCTGAAGCTGTCCTGACCGAAGCCATTTTGTCTGCTTCAGTATTGCCACATTGGAGCTGAGGGTCAGGGAGAGGGGATTGGAGATAGAGGGATTTTTGTAGCCAAAACAAAATACTTTCTCTTGGGAACCAAGGACATTCTCACACCTGGTCAGATGAAGGTGGAGTGATGCTACCCGGTTGCCAGACTGCACCGTGATTGGACCATGTGACTGATTGTTTTGAGAAAGTAGAAAAGCTTTCACTTTTAATGAGGTGAAAACAGGCGAGTTTCAGAGTCGGTTTTCACCAGATATGTGCCAATATATTTCCAATAAAAGTAATATTTGAGGAACTTGAGTGCCTCGAAGTTTTGCTTGCAATGGATTTATTACTTGGAACCCTGACACCTGCTTTGTCTATGAAACTAGTTTGTTTTCCAATGTATGCAAAGTTAGTTCTGTTTTATAGGTTACCTTGGGAGAGTTTGATATTGAGAAGAGGCATACTTTTAAATAAATAGCCCTCTATATTTAAGGAGCAATCCCAGGAGGGCTACACCAGATCTATGCCCTGTGTGCTTTGAGTCTGGAAGCAGAGTGTTATAAATTCAAGAAATGTATTTTCCATTAAATAGAATGTAAATAAACAATAGCACTTCACAGGAAATAACAACATACATTGTATTTTAACAAAAGTTAATTAAAACTTTCTAATTCTAATTGGGGTGATTAAAAAGCCAAAAAAAACCCTTGGCACAAGTATTTCAGTAACACTGAAAAATGTTTTTCCCTCTAGCTATTTGAAAAACAAAAACCTTGTTAAAAAAAAGTTATAACCTAAGCCTTGATGAGTAACCTCAAACCACTCTTGCCTCTTCTACTGAAAACAAATAATAGCACATTTTGCCAGTAAAGGAAGAAAGGAAATATGGTGATTTATACTTTACTGGTTGCTTGATCTCTATCAGCTTTTCTTCTTTCCTCCTTCCCTCCATTGTTCACCAATTATCCTTCTGGAAGTCATGACAAGACTAAATCCATAAATCACTTGCTTCTGCTAGTAAGATACTAACAGTACAGTTTTGATCAGTCAGCGCTAAGCATATATCCCACAGCAAGAATAACATTTGTTATTCATCAACATAGCATATTGTAATAATGACAATCTATGCAGAGATTTCTAGATCTTTCTTGGCCTTTTCACAGCCAAACTCTAAGGGCCAGATGAGGGCATTTCCAAAGAAGGGGAGTGAGCTCAGAATGGACTTTTTTCCTGTGCATTGCTCCTCTCTGGAGTCTTAGCAGCATGACCGGGCTGTTTGAACAACTGCCTGTTCTTAGATACAGGGAGCATGATAAAACCTTCATGACACTTTCCTATTTTAGGCACGAAAGCCCTTTTGGAGAAGGAAAGAAATATTTTCTGCATGAAGAGATATTTCAAACAAATCAGACAAATAAAATCCTTGGTCGCTTCTCACAGGCTTCTCTGTGTTTTAAAATAGGAGCATCTTAGGTCTATTGACTCTTTGATCACACATATTTAGCATCCATAACTTCCCCACGATATCTATTGACATATAAAGAGTTTAAAAACAATTAAAAACTACCATCTTTAGCTCTGTACACATAAATATTATTCACTGGATGAAAGGAGAAGCCTTTCAGTTGCCAGTGTCACCTTCTCGTCTATAGTATTTTCATTTCTTGACTAATCCCTCAATCCCCTATACAGTAGTGGCCAAAATTGTGGAAACCTTTTGGGAAGAGTATATTTTCTAAAACTAGCTACTGTGTTTTCCCGAAAATAAGACCCTGTCTTATATTTTTTTGAACTCGAAAATAAGTGCTTGTCCTTATTTTCGGGGAGGTCTTATTATTTTGGGGTGTGTGGAGCAAGACGGGCCTCCTCTTAACTGATTTCCAGCTCTGTCTCACTAACCCTAACCAGGGGAAATGGCAGGGACCGGCTGTGCATGCATTTAAATATTTTCGGATAAGGCTTATTTTCAGGGGAGGGTTTATTTTTGGGGGGGGAAGGGCTTATTTTTGGGGGAGACTTATTTTTGGGATAACACGGTAATAACACCACTTTTTTGGGGGAGTAGTACCATAAAATTATATGTCAATGGAAAGATAAGTTTGCATCAGAGGTGGGTTTCAGCAGGTTCTGACCAGTTCTGGAGAACCGGTAGCGGAAATTTTGAGTAGTTCGGCGAAATGGTAAATACCACCTCTGACTGGCCCCACCCCCATCTATTCTCTGCCTCTCGAGTCCCAGCTGATCGGGAGGAAATGGGAATTTTGCAGTAACCTTCCCCTGGAGTCAGGTGGGAATGGAGATTTTACAGTATCCTTCCCCTGGAATCAGGTGGGAATGGAGATTTTACAGTATCCTTCCCCTGCCATGCCCACCAAGCCATACCCACAGAACCGGTGGTAAAAAAGTTTGAAACCCATCACTGGTTTGCATGTGCTATATTTTGCAAGTGTGCGTTGTGATGTTTGTTTTTCTGAACGTGACATCTGGCATGGGTATTTTATGCTTGACAGGAACGTATATAAGTTTAACATTTATAAATTACATCCTTTGCTACTGATATTCAGGTTTCAGCCTTGGTCTTCAGCCTACTTTTCTTTGCTATACTTTCCACAAAATGGATAACGGGAGTATAATATGGGGGTTATTGTGACATATCAACTGCTTTTATTTCAAATAGTTTTATTAAGAAGTCAGTACAAACTACAGAAAAATACAAACAAAAAGTTAGGAAAAAAGTTACAAGAAAAATTAAGAAAGGGTGTGTGTGAGTAAAAGTAAAAAAAGAAAAGAAAGACAGAAAAAAAGAATAAGAATAAGAATAAGAAAAAGAAAAAGAAAAAGAAAAAGAAAAAGAAAAAGAAAAAGAAAAAGAAAAAGAAAAAAGAAGTAATTTCCCCCTTCATCCCTTCAGGTAGAAATAATTTTACTAATCACCATTAATTAAAAAAAACTCACTTCCTGTATGTCTTGAACTTATGACTGGTTACTTAGCCATCATTCAGAGTTACAATGGACACTAAAAAAGCTATTCATGACCTGGATTTGAAGTTCCAACAACTGCCCCTGCAATCACAGGACTGCGTCATCAACTGGCCCTCTTTTACAGCTATTTGCGGTATCCTATGGCCATGTGACCATAATATGCAATGTTTTTTTTTCTGGAAACCTGTTTCTGGCAAAAAATGCCCCATAACACACAATGGGTTTGCTTAAGCTGTTTGCTTAACAGCTTAATGACTGTGGTGTTCACTTGGCAACCACCGCAAAAAAAGATTTGAGCATAGTCACGTGATGACCTGTTTAATGACCATCATGATTTACAACCATAATTATGGGTTCAATTATGGTCATGTTGAGGACTACCTATAATCTCTCTTCTGCCCATAGCTCATCTCTTAGGTAAAGAAAACAACTCCAAATGCTATGTCAATCAATCCTTGTCAGCATAATCCAGTAATGGCAACAACTTTCTTCTTTTAACCCTGGTCAAATAAACCAATTTTAAACCTTTCCCGACATTTTAGAATTCTTCTTTAAGCCCTTAAAAAAATCCTAGATTTTTTTTGATCGTATGAGTTTCAAAGGGAAAATCCTTCAGAACTTTACCAAGTTTCTTTCAGAACAATAAGTAAAATATACGTCCATGGAGATTCTCAGTCTCCAGGTCAGGATTATCCCAAAGGTGCTTGTTTTTTTTTTTTCTCAAGAGGCAACTGGACTTTCTGTTTTTTCTTTGAAGACATTTCACTTCTCATCCAAGAAGCTTCTTCAGCTCTGACTGGATGGTGAGGAATGGAAGGATTTATACTCCTTGCAGAGAGCTGGTCATTTGCATTCTTTTAGCGAGTCGTTGAGGCCACCTGGAGGCTTATCAAGAAGGCTCCACACCCATTTGCACTACACAGGTGACCCTGATGACATAGATAAATCTCCAGGTAGCCTCAGCGACTGTTGTGGCCCGCCAGCGGCCTGCGCAGATTGTTGCTGATCCCGATGACGAGGAGGCTGTTGTGGTGTCGCGCCAGCAGCCTGTGCAGCCGGCGCTCGAGTCGGACAGCGAGGAGGCTGAAGAAGATGTGGTGCCAGAGGCAGGGATTCAGCCAAGGCCTTCAGAACCTCCAGAGGCTCCTTTAAGTGCAGAGGATGAAGTGGAGGAGCCTCTTCTCAATGCACGGGCACGCAGAGCTGCCAAAAGGCAGGAGTGGTTACTCAGGAGGAGGCCTCCTTGAGAGTAAGGCTTGGGGCTAATTGGCCACTCTCTTAGCGTATTTAAGTTTGCACGCAGCTTCTAAAAAGCTGCAGGAAACAACGCCTGTTCGCTCGATGATCATTGAAATCTGGATTTTCTTTGCAAACCTTGCTTCTGGGCTTTTTGCCAACTCTCGTAAGACTTTATCTTCCTGTGGAATTTCTGGCAGGTTGTTAAGGACGTTTTAGTTAACAGCCTGCATTTGTAAAAAAACTACGTTTGGAAGTAAATTGAGTTTGGTTCATAGTTTTGTGTGTGCTGCATTCTCTGAGATCCGTAGCTGAGGCAAAACAGCAACTCTCTAAAAGAATGCAAATGATCAGCTGTCTGCAAGCAGTATAAATCCTTCCATTCCCCACTATCCAGTCAGAGCTGAAGAAGCTTCTTGGATGAGAAGTGAAACGTCTTTTAAAAAAAACCCCAAAAAGTCCAATTACCTCTTGAAAAAGTACCTTTGGGACAAGTAAAATTTATCCTTTTGTTTGTAATTTCTAAAAAAAAGTCCTTCCATTTTTTTTTTCCTCTGGTTCTAGTGTCTAGCCTTCAAGGTCTCCTTATTAAAAAAGACAAAACAAAAAACCAGGAACATTTTGATGGGCACTCATTGCCCTCACTATGTAAGAAGAAAGGAATTAAGATTTAATTTAAGCAATTACCTTGGCAGGTCCTTTCATCCGTTAGTAATTTGTAGCCCTTTTGGCAGCTGCATTCAAAGCTTCCCACTGTGTTCCTGCAGAAGTGATCGCAGCCTCCATTGTTCATCAGACATTCATCTATATCTGTCAGAAACAGCAGGTGAAGAAACCAGAATAAGAGATCAGCCTTATATTTTCTAAGAGAAATTACCTAGGAATATTATATATCATCCTAAATTGGGGGGAGGACAGGAAAATTTCATTTGAGGGAAGATTCCCATATCTGCCCAGAGTGGAAGAAAAACAAAACATTTTAACAGACCAGAAGATTTATGCCAAAAAACAAAAACAAAAAAAACAGCTCAATATAAACTTTTTCCCAAGGTGCAAGTAAGATGGAAAATATATTGAGGAAAGCAAATAAACTGCAGTTGTGCAATCACATTCCATTTATGCAAAGACTGCTTCAGCCTATACAGTGTGTTCATGAGTCTTACAGAGTTAAAATTCTTCAGTCAATATATATTTGAACCAGTGATGGGTTGCTCCCGGTTCTGTCCGGTTCTTGCGAACCGGCAGTAAAAGCGGCGGGAGGCTCCGCCCACCCACCCAGATGTCATAATGGACGATCTGCGCATGCGCAGAAATGTACAAGCGCGCACGAGCAAAGCAAGCGCTCCCATTGAGAACCGGTAGTAAAGGTAAGTAGAACCCACCCCTGATTTGAACCTTCTATCAACATCTTCCACTTCAAGATGTTTCTGCCCCTTTAGTATGGAATGCACTCGACAAAATCTTCCCTAGTTACTTGGAAACTTTTTCTCTCCATGATTCCATGATTTAATCTTGATTCTTTCATGTCTGTCCACTGTTCTGTCCAAACTATGCACCTTTTCTTGCTTATCCCTTCTCTTTAACCTTTGCACTGGCCCAAATTCCTTGCCCTTCTGTCATCCATCCCACTTAATTTAATTTAATTTAATTAGCAAAGAAAGACTCCTGGTTCATTTCTTTTTCCAAGAGTATATACTTTATTGAGAACAAAGCAGTTACAGATTAGAGCAGGCAGAATCTGTTGGCTTGGCATGAAAAAATGATGCAATTCACTTTCCCTTTTCCCCTGGCCATCCATCCCCCTGTTATCAGTCAATGTCCAATTAAAAGTTCTCAGGTTGTTTTGGAAACCGATCTTGCATTGGCGTCTTTCCCATCTCCACATGTTCTGACCTAGGCTTCCTGATATAGTAAAAAGCACACAATTTGTCCCAAACTCTTTTTTTATTTTAGCGGCTGTGAATTCCTTTCATTCACAGCACCTGCTGAATCACCAAGAGTTTATAAATAGTCCAACAGAAGTCTGCCACAGTCCTTTGGATAAGGTTGGTAAACACCCACCTTTATCTTCTTTGACATGCTGCCAAAGACCTAACTGGCAATTACCTTGGCAAGGCCACACGGAAACACAGAGTCAAAAACGGAGCTTCAAAGTACAAACCAACACCATCCACAATGTTGCTTCCTGTAAAGACCCATGTGCCTTTGCTCTTCCTTTATGTTTTATGGGAGGGGCCAATCATTTCCAAGCTTTACTCCCAAGTCGCCTCTTTTGTTTTGACTGTTCTTGTCTTCTGGCAGCTTTGCGCATGCGCGCACTAGGAATAGGCTCCCCCTGTTCCTCTGCCTCTCTGGAGGCTCCGAAGTCCACACATAACTCCCAGGCGGCCCTGACCCCATCCCTGCCTCCAATGCAGAGCCCTCGTCCGAGCCTTCCCCAGACTCCAGGACTGCCCATGTTCCTCCCCAGCCTCCTCACTGTCCAACTCTGCTGCCAGCTCTGCAGGCTGCTGGCAGACCACAACACCACATTCCTTTTGCTGACCTTGTGCTTGACTGGTGCTCCTCATAGTCAGGGCCGGCTCTGCTTCAAATCCACCCACACCTAACCATCCACATTTCAATCTCTCCCCCTTCTGCCTGCCGTTGCTGATGTCAGGCCGGCAAGACGCCATTTGAAGCAAGCAGCACAATGACATCTATGACTCTTTCCCTTCAAAGATCTCTTGCGCTGTGTACCTTCATGTTTTGCTGGACTAGGCATTTTGACTCTTCTAAAGTTTTCCTGCTTTGTCCTCCCTCTGTCCTTTCTATCTTTCCTGCTTGTTTTGAAATGTTCAGTGGATACTGTTTTTTTTAAACCATCTTTTTAATGTTTCCACAAGAGTATTTCCAGTAGTGGTGTGTTCCCTCTGTCAAAAGGTAAACTGCAACTGCTTAGAGCTGTGATGGCAAACCTATGGCACGCATGCCGGAACTGCCATGCAGAGCCATCTCTCTGGGCATGCCAGCCATCGCCCGTTGCTCTTCCAGGCTAGTTGCTCACGCGCACGGGAGCGCCAGAAACTGGAAGAACAGTTCCCTGGTGTGCATGCGTGTGCTGGGAAGCTGAGCTTCTGGTTTCTGGCGCACGCATGCATGCCAGCCAGCTGGTCTTCACGAGTTGGCATGCGCCAGAAACTGGAAAACCAGGTGACCGGCACACATGCGCACACCGGAAACTGGAAGCTCAGCTTCCCGGTGTGCCCATACGCGCTGGGGAGCTGCTCTTCCGCTTCCTGGTGCTCCGTCCTGAGCGCGCGCTCCCCTTTTGGCACTCGGTGCCGAAAAGGTTCATCAACACTGCCTTAGAGGAAAGAAATCTTCAGCTGCTGTCTGAACAGTGTCTTGATGCTGAGCTCTGGGCAAGATTATTGGTTTTAAAATGTACCAAGGAAGCATGTCCATCAAGCCAAATGTATAATTATTATAATGTTTTGCATTTTCCATGCATCATTAACCAAATGACTTGGGATTCTGGTTTAGAGATGTGAATTGCTGTTTGTTTTTTTAATGATTCAGCAGTTACGTTCCTTCCACGCTAGTATCAGCACTGCTATATTGAAGGCAATCAAACAGATTATCTGAGATGGATGCATCATATGAATCGCACTGGGGGGGGGGGACGGCATAATCCTCGAATAGTAGGAACTGGAAGAGTCAGCCTAAAATTTCAGTAAATCCCCATCAACTTCTGTATTCTCCTTTTCACATTCAGCTCTTAACATGCAGCATTTTAAAACAGAAGAAATTGTTTATTGTACAACCAAAATAAACTGAAGCATACCAAAACCTAGAATCTAGTTGGCTCAGTTAATTATAAAATAAGGTGATTACATTTTTATAGCTAGCACTCTGAGTTTAAGTGAATAACTTTAGTTGCAAATATTGAAACTAACTTAGCAGTCTATTAGTTTGTTTCTGACAAAAGTGTTTTCCATTCTACATTTTCTCTTAATTTAGCGAAACTTTGAAATTTTGTATATATTACAAGATGCCCCATTGAAAGCATCTGAACCTTAGTTTATTGGAGTGAAACTAGTTGATATCTCAGTGATAAAATAGAGAGAACAATAATTATACAGAAATTCAAAACCAATAAATAAAATAAAAAAATGCAGCTATAATTTAAATAAATAAATAAATAAATAAATAAATAAAATAAATAAAATAAATAAATATTTGAATATCTGCTGGACAAAAATTCTTGAGGCAACCTTTTTCTATTTCCAATTATAAAATAAAAAATAGAATGTTACCTTTTTTATTGAAAGTGTTTAAAGAAAGATAAAAACAAGAGAAAGGCAAAGAAAGAAAGCAGAGAGAAAGCAAACAGTACAAGAATAGAAAAAATAATGAGAAGAAAGATACAAAGATGTGGCATTTGATATTCTTCACAGCAGTTTATAAATACAATTATATTTTTACTTCTCTTTCAAGTTACATCATAATACAACTCTTCTTTCGATAATCTATCCTGTCTAATCATCAGAGCCATAAATCGCAAGTTCATTTTTTAATTTTTACCCAAAAAGTCCATAAGAAGTTTCCAGTCATCATGACCAAATGTCAGAATGTTATCTACTTGAAGAGAAGATGAATATGCCTTTCAAACATTGCATATGGTTTGATATGATGCTTTAATACAGGTAGTCCTCAATTTATGACCACAATTGAGCCCAACGTTTCTGTTGCTAAGTGAAACATTTGATAAGTGAATTTGTCCCATTTTACAAATTTTCTTGCCACAGTTGTTAAATGAATCATTGCAGCTGTTGGTGTCATGGTTGTTAAGTGAATCTGGCTTCCCCAGTGTTTGTAAGAAAGTTGTAAAATGTGATCACGTGATCCTGGGACACTATCATAACTATGAGTCAATTGCCAAATGTCTGAATTTTGGTCACATGCAGCAAAAACAGAGCAGGGAGGACCATGTGCGACCCTCCTGAGCTCCATGTGCGGCCCTCCCAAGTTCCATTTTCGCTGGCAGAAGGTTGCAGGAGGCCATCACAGCTGAAAATGGAGGTCACAAGGGCTGTGCGCGGCCCTTCCTAGCTCCATTTTCGCTGGCAGAGGGTTGCAGGAGGCCATTGCAGCCGAAAACAGAACTTGGGAGGCCATTTCGCTGGCAGAGCGCTCAGCCGCCTCCAACACGAGTGACATCAAGCTGGCCACACCCACCCTGGCCACGCCTACCCCAGTCCCCCAAGGTCAAACACAACCTTGATGTGGCCCTCAATGAAATCAAGTTTGGCACCCCTGCTCCCACTTCTTTAGGACTTTTGGAACCATGTGTAATTGGTTATTGTTTTCATTAAATACCCATGTTTATAGATATATATGTTTTGTAAGTGGAAAAGTCAGAAAGCACATTCCTATGACTCAAATTGTAACAACAGCTCATCAGACTCCCCAGTTCACTTCATATCTTCTTTGATTCCTAATGTACAGCGTGCTACCTGTTCAGAAACCTGCCAGGATCGATTAAGAAGTGACTGTATGAATTAAATGTTTAAAACAGGAGATACAAAACTTACTCGGTGAATCACTGCAATACTTGAGCTTTGAAAAAATGCTATTGGGCTGTTCATGCCTTATGCTGAAATAATATACAAGTTTATGTTCAGTGACATTGGGACACTCCCTCTCTTTCAGACCAAGTAACTTGACTGAGTTTTTTTCTGAGGAATCTAAATAAGCAGGCATGAACTTCAAGGAAGAAAAGCTAGCTATAAATCTAACAATCAATCAATCAATTGAAACTTCCCAAA